CTACAAGGCAGGCCACGTCCCTGTTCTTTGAATTTGCTTGTAGCTTCGGGCCATCTCCCCGATTCAAGTCACGCGGCGGTGCACTTGTAGACAGTAGACAACAAAAAAAAAAAACTCGTTTGGGCAGATACTGCACTGCAAAGCGACGAGGAAATCGTCATGAAAGCCGTTGAGCAGCATGGAACAGCACTCAGAGTAGCCCTCCTTTTTTGGATATGATATTGCTTTATTTATAGAACTTAGTACTACTTCACTAACATTTTCTTTTCTTGTGTACTCTTTTATCTATCATTGATTATTTTTCACGGGCGGCAGGCTTGTCTTCAGTCATTGTTTGCGCACTTTTGGCTGCCGGGGGCCACGTCTCCCCGCAGCAAGATCCATACGTGATCTTATTGGTGTTAACTGATCGAAGTGTTCCTGCCGATCCTCAACCGATTTCGCCTGAGCTTGTCATTTAGTTAGCAAGCGGCTTGCTAGAGTTCTTCCTCTTTCATCCATCACGGTAAGTGTGCGCTTAGATAGGTGGCTCCGCGAGCCCGCGCTAGCTTTTCTACAAGGCAGGCCCCCCGTCCTTGTCTTCTCTTTGAATTCGTAAGTTCGGGCCACGACCCCGGTTCAAGCCACGTAAATAAATGTTGGGGGACTTGTAGACTGTAGACAAGTAGACAACAACAAAAAAAACTCCAGTGGGCAGCTGGTGCGTTGCGATGCGCCAAGAATATCGTCATGAAAGCCGTGGAGCAGAATGGCCGCGCACTTAGGTACCCCTCTTTTTTTGGATATGATATGGCTTTACTTATAGAAATTAGTACTACTTCGCCAACATTTTCTTTTCTTGTATACTCTTTTATCTGTCATTGATTATTATTCACGGGCGGCAGGTTTGTCTTCAGTCATTGTTTGCGCACTTTTGGCGGCCGGGGGCCACGTCTCCCCGCAGCAAGATCCATATATGTTCCAGGGCTTGGGGCCACGGTGCGCCCTCTAGCGTAGGGGGGGGGTGCCGTAGCCCCGGACCCCTTTTGAAGGCGTCTGCCGGGGGTGGAAGGCCTCAAAAGGGCTCCAAGTGACCTCCTCCGCTCCCTTCCAGGTGCTTGGCTGTCCCCTAGAGGCCTCCGACGTAGGTGGAAGGCCTCAAGAGGGGCCCAGGGGGCCGCCTCTGCTTCCTTTCCAGGTGCTTGGCTGTTCCCTAGAGGCTTCCGAGGTAGGTGGAAGGCCTCAAAAGGGGGGCAGGTGGCCTCCTCCGCTCCCTTCCAGCTGCCTGGCTGTCCCCTACAGGCTTCCGACATTGGTGGGAGGCTTCAAAAGGGGCCCAAGGGACCGCCTGCGCCCCTTTCCAGGTGCCTGCCTGTGTCTTAGGTGCCTCCGATATGCTTCGCAGCCGCAGCAGTGCGCCGGCAGTGGAAGGCCTCCGAAGGCGGCAAAAGGCGAGGGGCTGGACCCCGTGAGCCGTGCAGCCTGACTGTACCCTCCGGGCCCTTGGTCATCGGCTTGCTTGCTCTTGCGACCGTGGCCGCCTTCGGCGGCCTTTTACCCCGGAGGCCTCCCGCCTGGGAGGGTCAGTAGAGGCCAGGAGGTTCCTTAGGAGGATGCTGAGAGGCCTGAGGGAAGGCCCGCGCCAAGTTTCGACGCCTTCCACCACTAGAATCCGCGGAAATGCGCGCGGAAAAGAGCGCGCGCGCGCCACCCCAGACCAGACCGCGGGGGGGTTCTGTCCAGCCCTACAACATATATGGCCTTATAGGTGTTAAATATTCGTAGTGCCCCTGCCGATCCTTCGCCAATTTTGCGTGAGCTTGTTGTTTAAATTAATAGGCGACGACTTGCTAGAGTTCTTCCTCTTTCATCCATGACGGTAAGTGTGCGCTTAGATAGGTGGCTCCGCGAGCCCGCGCTAGCTGTTCTACAAGGCAGGCCGTGTCCTTGTCTTCTCTTTGAATTCGTAAGTTCGGGCCACGACCCCGATTCAGGCCACGCAAATAAATGCTGGCGGACTTGTAGACAAGTAGACAAAAAAAAAAAACTTAGGTGGGCAGATGATGTACTGAAATGCGACAGGGAGGTCGTCATGAAAGCTGTGGAGCAGAATGGAAAAGCACTCCGGTGGGCAAGTCCTGCGCTACTATGCGACAAGAAACTCGTCATGAAAGCCGTGGAGCAGAATGGCCGCGCACTTGCGTACTTTTTTATCCATCATTGATTATTTTTCATGGGCGGCAGGCAGTCCTTCAATTCTCGTTTATGCACTTTTGGTTGCCGGCGGCCACGTCTCCCCGCAGCAAGATCCATATATGATCATATGGGTGTTTAATAACCGTAGTGTCCCCAACGATGCTCCACCGATTTCGCATGAGCTTGTTGTTTAAATGCGCATTGACTTGCTAGCGTTTCCCTCCTTTCTCCATCACAGTAAACGCGCTCTTAGATATGTGGCCCCGCGAGCCCGCGCTAGCGTTTCTACAAGGCAGGCCCCGTCCCTGTCTTCTCTTTGAATTCGTAAGTTCGGGCCGACTCAGGCCACGTAAATAAATGTTGGCGGACTTGTACTTGTAGACAAGTAGACAACAACCAAAAAAACTTAGGTCGGCAGATGATGCACTGAAATGCGACAGGGAGGTCGTCATGAAAGCTGTGGAGCAGAATGGTGAGGTGCTTTTCAAAACGATTGACAAAAAACAAAAAATCTGTTGAGTGTGTGAGGGCCGGAGCTCAAACTTTTTCCCTTCGGGTTGAGAAAGCATGGGCGCTGATGGTCACGTGTGATTTCATTTAACTCTGTACTTGTGTGAGGGTGAGTCGTTTTGTGAGTTACAAATGAAGTTCGTTCTCTCGTTCTGTACCGTATCTTAGCTCTGTTCTAGTTTGAGTTCTCGTTGCGTGGGAGAGATAATTATCGAGAAAGGGGCCCCAAGCTCCTTTCTCGCGTCCGATACTGTATCTTACCTCCTGCAGCTACCCCAGTTTTTCTGAGAAGCCCTCGAATTTTATGAATAATGGTTCCGTTCGAATCCTATTCATCATTCTAGATTTGACCTTTACTAACTTGGTTTTATGTGCCACGTTTGCTACAGTTGTTTNTGCCTCCGCATTTCGTTACGCATCTGAAGCAGTCAAAGCCAACAAAGGGGCAGTAATGAAAGTTGTGAAGCAAAGCGGCTGGGCACTTGAATTCGCAGCTCAACACTTGCAAAACGATAAAGAAGTTGTCACGCAAGCGGTGCGCCAGTGCTGAACGAGAAGGACGCGGACTTCTTCTCCGAGTTGGAGGCTGGGGATAACAACTTACGCCGGAGATTAGCCGACGCCGCTGCGTGTCCGATGAAGATCACGGGTAACGAGGTGGCCGGCTTGCCGTACCTGATCGCCAAGCCGTTCCACCGCTGCGACATTGACCGGAATCATCTGCAGGCGCGCGGTATCGCCTTCCCAAGCTACGCCGCGCCTAACGTGGCTCGGCACTTGGCACCCGGGACATCTTTTGCGCGGTACTACATATCCGAAGACGCGTCGGGGGCTGTAATGTACGACGCGCTCCGCCGTCGAATCATATCGAAAGCCGTAACTGAGCAGCTACGTCGAGGCATCGCCACAGCCACCCGCAAAAACGACGCCGAGCAGTACTCGTCTGCTATAGCGCACCTTTTGGCGCAGGGCGCAAACGTCAAACGCATAAACTCGGCCATCAACGCCTGGCGCGGAGTAAACCAGCCGAGTAAGTGCGTCGTAGTGGTGCTAGGCTTAAGCTTGCGGCTTATCAAAACGACGCCTGCCGGGCTGGCTTTTTGGGAGGAGTTTGGTAAGCTTCCAAGGGGGTTGGCTTGCATCATCGACGAAAAAACGTCTGAGGCCTTTCAAGCTGAAATCGAAAACGAGATGGCGCGCGAATCAGCTGACCCCTCAGGGGCTCGCCTTCGGGCGCCCACGGTGGATAGGTTCCGGATAGGCATTGACGACTTTGCTGGCAGGGAGGACGCGACCGAGTACCCGATTAGAGTCGTCAAGTCTCCCGTAAATCTTCTGGCAGACTTTCCCGACAAGCTGACTGTGCACAGGATGAGAGGGAAAATCAACAAGATGATCCGCGCTGACATGAGCAAGGTGCAAGCAGCCGCGGGCAGTCAAGTGGCGCAAGGGTAGCTTTAGAAGCGCGGCACTTCGAGGTTGTGGCTGGTGACTTGCGGCATACGAGGACTACGACTGGCTCGAAGCTCAGGGCAAAAAAGACGGGAAGGATGTGAAGGTAAGGCCCCTACCCTTCACCCACGGCGTCAGGGTCCCTCAACCAACGAGGGGCGTGAACTTTTAAATAAAGCAAAACACTGCAAGGGGCATACTGCTTCATCTACTAGTATCATCCAATATGCCCCTTCAGTGCTGTTGCAATTCAGTTGAGTTTCCTTCTCTCGTATACGTAGGTAGCGAATTCTACCACGCTGCGGGGCTGAGTTATTCCTTGGTCAGGGATAGCAAATTTATTATCGACGTCATTAGATCGAACCATCCACAAAACTTCTGAACAAGTTATCAAATCGCACCATACAGGTACTAGAGCTAAAGAAGCCAACGACTCTCAGACGCACTTGAACTAGTAAGGTTTTGCGCAGGAAAAACAAAATCAGCATCGACTATTCAAGAGAGCAGGGGAACGGCAGCGAAGAGCACAAGAAGCACGACAGTATAAGACTAGAAAACCAGGACTATGCACTTTACCACACAAGTAAAACCACCAATACTACTACCAGGCATAACAGCACAACACCAGCTAGAGTTCTCAAATCTACAACACAAATGCATAAGGGTCCCTTTCCCACCATCAGAGATGTAATTCTTAAGCGTCGCCATCAATCTCTTTCGCATAGAAACAGAAGAACTCCCGAAAAATTCACATCTCACTCTACAGGTATTTGCGTCAGAAGATCTAGCGAAATTTAGCCGCAATTTGAGCGGTTGTCAATTATGCAGGAGAGAATATAAACGTTTCAGCATCGGTCTGCCGAGTGGGATGCTGCACAGTAGTGGCCAAAACAAGTAGCGCAAGTGAAATTCTAAAAATAAGTACTAACATGCATTATATCACACAGTATAAGCTTGGATTCGGATCGGTCAACCTGTAAAGCAGTTGCACAGCAATAGAAGAAAGCTCAGCATAGATGTATAATGCCATACCAAGCACAACAAATACAAATCAGCAAGAAGCAAAGTAAACCATTAGAAAACTAGAACCATGCAAGAAGCCACACAAGAAGAATCGCAATCACTTACAACTGTACTGACAGACACAATACTACAGCAGTTAGAAGGCTCAGAGAGCCGTGACGACCGTCAGGAATAAGCTAAGGTGGTTCAGCGATACATCTAGTAGAATCAACTTCAAGACCAATCGTAAATCAGTAGCGCAGTAGAGTTCGTACATGTAATTGCAATCGACACAGTCTCGACGCATTAAGTTATTAGTACGTTATGGCAACTTCGTACGCTTTATAGAATGAATCAGAGTAGTAGCTCGTCAGCTTTTTGTCTTATAATTTAGTCTGTCAATGATATACTCGTTATGTTTTGTTATTTTTTACTGACTCACCACGACCATCTCACTAAGACTCAAAAATCCAAACGCGTACTATATTTCTTAAATATACGACTACTACCACAGCAATAGTGCGAGCAAGTTTTTAATAGTGCCACAAAGGGGAAAAAGCAACTAACTAGCACCGAGCATCAAGTGCATACGCCTGCACTTGGTACGACAATCAGGACCATAGAACTAAGCATAGACGAGCTACTAGTTACCACAACTGTAAAGCCACAGGAAAGGAGTTACTCAAAAAGAACATCAGAACTTACGTCGGTGGAACAAAAAGCGGGAAGACTAAAGACGATCGAAGATCAAGCAGCGATCCAAAAAAAATAGCAGAGTAGATACATACTCATGGTGTACTGATCTTGCTCGGATGATGATCGCCCCTAAGTCATTTAACAGCCATTCTTTTCAGATTTGCTTAAGACCGAGAGTGAATTATTCCAGACGGTTTACCCATTATATTGCAAATCGGTCATGTGTTTTCAAATTCAGTTACCGTTGTTATTACCAACTCGCTCATCCGCGTCGGGCACAGTCCCTATCTCAGCAACGTTCTTCTATTTGTATCAAATGTTTCTGTCTATCTATTTAACTTCAATTTGACTTCTAATTGAATGCATTAATTGGGTATGCGTGGCAATTTCGTGACCTATACACCGTGCTTGAAAAAATTTGCTTTTATTTCTATTCATTGAGAGAAGATGTGCCGACTCATCGTTCCTCGCCACTGAAAAAGTGGCAACGTGCTCACCCGGTCAAAGACGCAAATGGTGGCGAGGTCCCCCCTGAAGAACAGCGAGCTATCTGTGGCCATCAAATCCGAGCTGCATACCAAGTGTTATGGATTGGGCCACGATAAAACCTATTGGGATCCGAGTTTTCCGGGAGCGACCCTCCTTCAAGAGCAGCGAGCCATCGGGGGCCATCAAAACCGAGTTGCGCACCAAGTGTTAGAGATTGGGCTACGATAAAATTTGGTGGGACTCGTCGAGTTCTCGGGGAGCGAGCCTTCTTCGCTGGGATTCGAGTTATCCGGGAGCGAGCCTGTTTCTTATGGATTTAGACGTAGCTTAGCCTCACCAAACATTATCGTTCTTTTGCTTCTGCAAGTATCTTACTCATTTATTTTTCATGGACGGCAGGAGGAATTTTCAATCACGATGATGCACTTTGGTTGCTGGGGCCACGTCCCCCAGCAGCAAGATCCATATACGATCTTCTGGGTGTTATTTAACTCTAGTGTCCCTGCCGATCCTTCCTCAATTTTGTATGAGTGGTTGTTTAGCTAGCTAACACTTTGCTAGAATTCGCCTCCTATATCCATCACGGTTAATGTGCGCTTAGATAGGTGGCTTTGCGAGTCCGCGCTAGCTTTTCTACAAGGCAGGCCACGTCCTTGTTCTTTGAATTTGCTTGTAGCTTCGGGCCATCTCCCCGATTCAAGTCACGCGGCGGTGCACTTGTAGACAGTAGACAACAAAAAAAAAAAATCTTGAGTGGGTAGATGATGCACTGAAGCGGGACAAGGAGATTGTTATGAAGGCTGTCGCACAAGATTACAGCGCAGCTCAATACGCACCTTGCGAATTGCTAAAGGATAAACAAGTCTTCAGACTGGTGCGGCGACATCAATCCTGTAAGTAGTAAAGGTGTGACTTTTCGAGTTCGTCATGGAGTCGATGGCTCTTGTGGAAGAAATCGCGCATCTTTGTACTACTCTTCTGGTTCTGCAGCGTGGTGGTTCATCGGTCGTTGTTACTTTCCGTACCTCCAAATCTCCGAATACTAGAGTGCTGCAACAAAGGATCTGAGTTTGTATATATTGAAGCTCACATGGAAATACAGAAGTTCAAAATTCGTTTTCTTTACAGTTGAGCCTTCTTAGTAAGGCCAACTACGAAATGTGAATATTAGACGGAATAGAAGACTCGTGTTTAAGTGGAGAATTACTTTGGAGATATTGAGGATACATCTTCAATCAGTACTACTAATGGTACTATTACCCACCCTAAGTGAGTAGTTGTACTACTTACTTAATCTGTAGTTCTAGTGCTGCTGGTGTTGATTTGGTGACTTTGATTCTATACTTTGACTTGTTGTACTAGTTCTTTCGCTCGTTTCAAACTAAGTATCCACACCCTGACGACGGTAGATGAGAACGTCAATAGATCGATGCAGGTTCTAGTAAACCGGTAACAGCGAACGTCCTGCGATCCAACTTGCATGCTGTTTACATACGTGATAGTGATAGGAAAGGTTGTCATGTAGTTTAGAAATGAGGTTGTCATGTAGTTTTGACTGAATCACACTGTGTGACTAATTAGTTATGCAGCGAAGGCTGGTAGATACAACGCTTACGCTATTAGAATGAGTTCGAAACTGAAAGGGCACCTTCCGGGGTGAAAAGAGACGCTAGCCTCTCCCTTCCAACAAGATATGAAGTAACGAAGCAAGAATAGAGGTTCGTTTGTTGTAGGTTGAGGGCTTCAATGAACTAGACGGTGGGGGGCACGAGAAGTACGAACTAGAGTGCACAAGGGCCTCGTCAAAACGCGCATGGGCTATTCGACAAGGTGTGTACACTTGAGCGATCGGCTGTGCTGATAAAACCAAAAAAAGCGACAGAATCTATACTGGTGTGACGGCTGTGTGAAAGCATGTTGCCTTAGGTTATCACTTCGCGCGCAACGCTTCGTCTATGTTCGTGTCATAATGTTGCAGGATGGTTACCAGAGAAGTGATCACCAGACTGCTCCTCTTGCACATCGTAGATTATATGGAGCTTGCCCTGATCACGCTCCTCTTATCGGTTTTTCGGAATGGGTCGGAAAGGTTTTGGGACGAGTGAGAGTGTAGTTCGATGGTTTTGATCTTTTTCCTTCCCTTCCCCTCTATTTGTGCGTTTTGATTATTAATTTTCTACGCAGGGGCAGCTAGTCTTGTGATTAATCTCCGTCTTCTAGTCCAAGCACATTAATATATGGAGCTTGAAAACATGTGAGAGCTCTTCACGCGAGGAATTATAATTTTCAGCGATCATATTTCCTCCGTGCTTCTTGAGTCTTTGAAAAACTACGAAATGCTCTGAAGGTACAATCAGCGTTCAGTCTCGCAGCGTGGCATAGGGCGCGCCTTTCATAGAACAAGGTCAAGATCAAGACCAAGGTCCGTGGCTGGCACCAGCGCGCTGAGGACCATGCAACCTGTTGTCGGGCAAAAGGGTACTGGTGAAAAGCCGCGATGACAAAAATAAAGCCGACAGAGAGGATGGCTCATCTTGTTTGTCCATCACGGACACGGTCGCGGATTTAGCGCTGCACGTCTATAAGGAGCTAGTTGTAAATCCAGCACCGAAAAAGAGACGGACGAAACGAAAGCATCGCGAAAACAGGTAAGAAGAAAACAAAATTGGCACCCGGTTTTGACCTCGTCTTCCATTCACTCGTTCATTTTTTTGATGTCGTGGGTGGAAAATGACTGTAGAAATTGAAGATATTTTTGTGGTTTGTTCCGATGCAACTACAACTGCTTCAAGGACAATAAGATGTAGGGATTTTGATCTCAACGCCAAAGCAAAGGCACCCATCCACTATGATCATCATTGTTTTGATCCCTAATTTTGCTGTTGGTCCTGGTCGTAATTTGGTGGCTACGGGTTCTAGGATGTTACTCGCTATTCTTATTATTGCCTAGATTCGAAGACGAAGTAGTGCTTGTCCGTACTAAGAATGAGCTCATTTCTCAGCTCAGCTCAACACTAAAGTTAGTTAGGGCCACCACCTTCATCTATGCCGTCAAGCCGTAGCAGATGCTTCTTCCGTGCATAAAAAAATGTTGATGGTAGTAGACAGTATCTAAATCTACTTATGTATGAAACTGCACTGTGTACTCTGATCAGTGATGATCATATAAAATTATCAAGACAAATATAAGCAAAAGCCTGGTGGAGCTCAGGTTGGCATGAGCGGACTGATGCCTTACTGTTCCGCTGCGAGAGAATGAAATTTTAGAATTTCGATGTGCAGGACGCCTATCCCACCCTAAGCTGCTTCCATTTCCAATGTACAGCTCTTGCTGCCACGACCGACACCACGTAAGGATGAAGTTTCAAGATCGTCTAAGAGAATTGCCTGCTCCCAAGAAAGATCTAGAGAATCGATCAAAATGTTGAAGGTGTCGCTTTATTCCAAGGGGCTTCGCTTTCGTCTGCTTCATTCTGCGTCTTGCTTCTACTAAAGCTGTTTCTCACGATTCAACGAAAAGTGCTCCAATGAAGTTGAAGAAGCAAGACCTCCACCCATCAAGTTGGAAAATGACGACTTCTTCTAGTCAGACCACAGAAGGTGGACTCGTCAATGTCCATCACGACAGGCGTGCGTTTGTATTCTCCTTGCAGTACTACTACGTGAAACAAGTGTATGTTGGGTTTTTCGTCTGCTTTCCCACTCGGGTGCTCTCAAATCAAACTAAAACTTCCTTTGGCGTTTAGGTTCTCTATTCTTCTAATATATTGAACAAGTAGAAGTTGTTGAAGTCAACATACAGATACAGGACTTTTCGTTTTGACCTTTTTTTTCATCTGTGAAAGGAAGTCTTGGACTTCAAGCAACTCAAGAAATAAATTAGTGACTAACTTCTAATGATAGCGCCTACAATCTAAGTAAACAACCCATCACCCTTCATATAACGCTTTTGACCTTGTCAAATATCAGCTAAGTTGGTTTTTCATCGTTCCTTTTCCTCGAACACCAACTACCTCTCGTCTCTCCACCAATCGAGGACACGTGAAGTCAAGAAGATGACACACTAAGTAGACAACTACATCAAACGCAAACGTTAGGCTCTTCAAGGGAGACAGTGCCAAGAAGTTGCTCCTGCGTTATAGGCCAGCGATCATTTTTCACGAGCACCTCTTCGAAGCCCCGCCATTGATTAGGTGGTTGACTACCGCCCTCTTTTGACTTCGAGACTAAGTCAGGGTGGAGCATATGCATGAATGAATTCTCACGATATTTCTCTACTCACGCTTACTCCTTAGTAGATCTTCACACCGTTATCAAGTTTGGAAAATACATCAAATACGGAAGAATATTTTCATCAACTTTCACGTTGAAGAATAGAACAGAGAGATACAACATCAACCCGTAGGGGAAACAAAATAAAAATGGGTTGCATTTTCTGTGGTCGTAAACCTGAGAAACGTCTTGCCGACGACGGCAAGTACTATACGGGTGCCGAGTTCGTCCGTCACTACGGTGCTGTAGAAGCAGAATGGCGTTGGAAAGCGGCGCCCTCGGATTGGGAGCTTCGCATCGGCAGCGACGGCCGTTCCCATGACGCCAAGTGGGTCTACTGGGATAACAAGAACAAAGGTGGTCCGGACTGGAATCACTACAAGAACGGCTTCAAACCGGGATGGACGACCGCGCCTAAAGTCGGAAAACACTTTCGAGCAGAAAAATGACAATGCTGAGGAGCAACAAGAACCACATGTTGAGGGGCAACAAGAACCACATGTTGAGGAGCAACCAGAGCCACATGTGGAGGAGCAACAAGAACAACAAAATGACAATGTTGAGGAGCAACCAGAGATACAACAAGTACAACAAGGAGCAGGACACCTAGGTAGTGCCTGAAGATTGCGCACAACACCTGGGTGAAAACGATCTTCTACTTCTAGCAGCTACTGATGAAGATTGTGTGCTGCACTCGCTGTTCGTGTTGTCCTCGCTTCTCAGCTTAACAGATACAGAGGAGTGAGGTTTTGGTTGCGACTGAATCTAGAGATGCCCTCGTAGTTTTTATCATGATAGAGCAGTACAACATTGTTGATCCAGCAGGTTTTTGTTTCGTTGTCGAAGTAGGCGCCTACAGATGGTCGATTCGTATATCAGAATAGTCGAAACCGTTGAGTCTGCTGTCGTTTTCTTGAACTCAAGACTAGATTAAGAAAAGGATTGTAGCTACAGGTGAAGATCCTTGTTTTGATGTTTTACAGTTCAGCTTCGGATTGCTTCATGAACGTCATGGGGTAGACTAGGTAGTCTATTGCATGTTCGTGCTTGAACTGGTCAAAACTGAAGCAGCAGACGAAAAGCATGTGCACGCTCAAGGTGATAAAGCATCCTCAGCACTAGTACTAGATGAAGAAATGATTATTTCTGGACTTTACTGTGCGCAGGCACCAACGAAGTCCAGGGCGACCTTCGTTCACTCGAAGAATCAGCCGCTGCAAGAGGACTTACTTGCATGAGAGGCCTTTAAGACGGAACTGGTAGTGAGTGTTCAGAACAATACGGGTGCTACGTGCTAGTGTAAAAAAAATGTTAATGAGGCAATATTTGAGAATGAGAAGGTGTTTTACTTACATTTTTCAACAAGGCAAGAGATTTTCGTCAAATATCAAAGCTGACGAAAGATTCGTAGAAGAGTTGACGAAATATAAGATATCCAACACAGCTGCAGCTCGATACTTCAGACGTTTTAGGTATTGAGTGCTGTTATTATAGCTTTGTAACAATATCATCGAATAACATCAGATTTTTTCGGAAATCTCATCGGAGTTTGTTTTCTTTAACTCCCATTTCTTTTTGCGCTCTTGAGGAGACTTATTTTTATGCTTCATGAATTTGAATTTGTTGTTAAGTAGGTTTCGAAGTTTTTATTGAGAATATAATCCAAGAGAGTGAAAAATATACTTTTCCTAACACTTTTCTAGTAGTACTGAAATCCAAGATAACATGCAATCCTGCACTAGAGCACTTCTTTGTTCATAGTTGATCTTCATTGGAGAAATAGAGGGACCACTAGGCTTTACTAAATATTACAGGAGGAATCAATATGTAGTAAATGTAAAAAGTACTAAGTAGCTGCATTATTAGCCCACCTCCAGTACTGGACAGGGGAACCTTAGGACTAGGATGACCCTCCCAGGCGGCGTCTCCTCAGGTGTGCTGACGCTTCGCCATGCATCGACAGCTGATAAACAAAATACGAAGTCGAATGGGTTATCTCACGACGAGGTGGTCAAGAATAATGATCCGCTTGAAGATGTGCCACCCCCTGTACTATCCTGCACGACGAACAAGACGAAAAACTACAACGCGAAGCCTTCTAGTACGCGAAGCTCGTCCAACAAGGACGCCTTTCCCGCACTCTTCCTCAACCGGGGTAGCGCGTTTTTACTGCTGATTTTGACGGGCTTGCAAATTGTGGTTCTTTTATGGGTGTAGGGAATCCATCTCCAAAGTCAACATCTGAAAGAACAAGACTGGAGCTAAGAGGCACCCAAATGATCCCTGGGATGAATTTCCTATCCCTCTAACTCTTTTGCACTATCTGGGCACCAAGTCGACTGTCTTCCGCCTCCTGCGATCCTCTAGGTGGTTGTTCTTTGGGCAAACGGGAGAGGATCGCTCAAGAGGACTATTCATGAGAAACCCTATCAGCATCTTACTTCCAGAACGGGAGAGTACTCGACAAGTAGAGCAGAGTAAACAAGAAGCAGCAAAAGTGTTGGACTCGGAACAGTCGGACACTCGGCATGCAGTAGTATCTCCACCACTTCCGGAGCTGGTGCTAGAACTGGCATTTTTAACGCTGGTTTACTCTACATGGTTTCTCGTGTCGAATGGAATGTGGCTTTCCTACTTTCGATCAAGGCCATGGTGGAACTCACTGAGGAATAGACCTGGCTTCGTCTGTGCAAATCATCAAGCGGAATTGGTATTTTAGGCCTACCATCGATAAAGTTAGGACAAAAATGAACCACGACCTTGCAGAAATACACTCTCGTGCTGGCAAGAAAACAAGTGAAAATTCTTTAAACTTCTGCCAAAATCTCCCAATCTTTTTAACTTCTCTTTGACTTTACTAGATTATGTGCAGTACTTTGGCGCCGCACCATCTTTTGGCCGGATTGCTTCACATTTACGGGTATACGACTGGTGATGTGGACTTCATTCGGCATGGCATTTTGTGGGAGGCCGCTTTCAATCTACATGACTACATCTGCATCCTTTTCCACTGCTTTCCGTACAACAACTACTTCCGCGCGGATCATGCTGTCAGAAAAATAGGAACTACAAAGGGTGTTGAGGTACCACCTCGCGGAACTTCTTCTACAACGACGACGACAGGAAATGCACGGATAATTACGGCTTAATACCGTAATTCATCTCAAGGGGCATCTTTGCGCCCCTTTTTAAGGGAAAAGCACGGCAAAGATTCTTTCCAGGAAGATGAATACTGGTAACAAGGTCTAAGATAATCGTGTGGGTGACACGGCGATTTCCTGGCGGTGTATGGGCGTGTCTTGTCCACCATTTTGGAGCCTTGTGCTTCGGTCTCTTTGCTATCCGCAGTGATCTTCTCTACCGCGAGGACATGCAACGCATCTGCATCGCACCGGAGGCTGCTGCTGGTGTCGCTCTTGCCATATTGGCCTTTCAGTACACGTGTGATTTTCGGACGCACATTGTGCATGTTTTCGTTGCGAATGCTCTGAACACAGTGGTCTTCGGTGTCACTCGGGGTCTCGAGTTTCCTTATTTCGCTCTTTCGCTTTTTGCGCACTTACTCCGGTCCACGGACTGGAGCCCCTTGATGTTTGGAAAGGATTTAGATTTGTTTTGCAGCACCACGACGAGTCGAGCTGCTTCATCTGCGTCTTCAGACCAGCATATAATATTGCACCAGCAGAGTACCTCGACGTCTTCCTCCCATCTTCCACTGGAGACTACAAGAACAATCATGACAGCGCCGTATCCAATGGTGTTCACGCTGGGCGCTGGCTTGAGCATACTCGGGTTTTCGATTTTTAATCTTTACGCAGGCTGGAAATCTACCAAACGGGTACTTAAGATCAATACCATGTTCGCCGAGCAATACCTCACCCCATGGCCCGTGACGCAGAAGGCTGTATTAACCATCACGCGGTGGTTGAAAACCGTGCTACCAATCTAGAATATGGGAATACAACAGGTGGTTGAAAACCGTGCTACCACTTTAAAACAACAAGGGAATTATACAACATAGTATCAGTATAGCCAGCACTACCGTCGTTACAACAACTCTTTGAAAAGCAAGACCCCCATTCTACATATATGACGATAGCCATCCTACATCCACATACATCAGAAAGAGATTATTATTGGTTTTTCAAGTTATATTGCAAGGCTCCTGCTCCTAGTTCTATTTCCAATTCCCATCTACTAGGCGCATCATATTTGAAAACCTTTTTGACTAAGGCTAAGAATGAGAAGGCATCACTCAAATCAATCCACATTCCTGAACCCTAGGCGAAGTATCGCTAGAAATAGATTTGCAGAAGTTTTCCAAAGTGTTGAGTAGTATAGATTTGACTAGTTGCATAGTAGATCAATTGTCGCTCCATGTAATCCCCTCTGTATTCCTACAACTTGCGCAAATTTTCTTTCAACATCTCGCGACATAATTGCTTTTTTTTGATTTTGATATCTCCAACACCAGCACCACTGCTGTCGCACTGCAACAAGATGAACATGCTGACCTGTATAGTCATGAATGCAACATCGTGACCTGTAAGTATAGTCATGACTGCACAGAACCGAACGTACTAGATGCCGTATACTATAAGTATCCAAGCGTCATGTCTTTGTCTCTGGTCCAGCAAGTCCTTCTGTTGATGACTCAACAATTTACGCTGCGGATGAATCAACATAAGTATGCACTTGTGCAGTCTTACTTCAGCTCTTCTAGCGTGGTACTTTCTCTTGAGTTTGTACTTAACTACAAATACCAATACTAATGGTTGTTCCTTCCTTTTATCGAACCAATGAAAGTGGTGTCTGTTCTTGCGCCTGTAGAGGAATTTCCGACTTTTTACGAGTTGTACTCGTTACGAGTCAGCTGCCTTTTTGCTTCTTGGTCTTCAACACTCTTTTTGCGATGCTAAGATGTTGCGAAGATACTCATTTTATTTCTGTACTTGAGGACCGCCATGATTTTTATCCCTTATTATACTTGTTTTCATCTCCACTCGTAACGTGATCACTGAGCAGAACACAAAATAATGGCAACGCCTAGTAGGACTGATGTTAGCTGCGCTGGTTCTAGCGCTACTAGAACTAGTACTGGAACTACCCGTTTGTTTGCTAGTGCTAGCGAGTTGTACTATCGGACTTTTTTCATTTCAAACCTTGTGACGCGGCATCGAAATCGTGTTTTACGTAATCGGTATTTGCAACTTTATTTTCGGGCAGAACATCAACATTTCCAACCGTCATCGCCTTCGTCCGCCCTGTCCTGCAGCAAAACTGAGGATGAGGCGCTGAAACGACGAGCTGACGGGTTTTCGAAGTATAATACGTTCTACACGGACCTCTTTGAGGACGGCAGATCTTCAGCCGACAAGAATTATATTCTTATTCCCATAGCGATATTATTAGCGGTCGATGACTTTAATATCCTGCTTGCAAATAGTGCTGTGACTCCTCTGAATAACCGGTTTCACGATGTTTCCTCCATCTCGACAAGCGTTGCAGGAGATCACGAAGATGAAACCAGTGTGCTTCTTGCCACGCCACCAATCCGTCTCTGCGATACTGCTGCAGAGCGGAACCGCCTTGTGCTGGCACAGCGACATTATCTTATGATATTAAATAATTGCATAAACATGGGGTGGGGGAAAAGGACGAGATTACTACTTATTTCATACAATTTTGATTTTTCAATGAATTACTTGTTTTTTGATGGAGACAGATGGATGTTGAAAATGAAAACGAGAACTACCAATGAATGTTATTTGAAGACTGTGATCATTTGATGTTGTTCACTATGTTGTATTCATCCTGAATGAGTCGAAGATTCGATTTCTAATGAACGCGGCCGCCGTCTGGAGGCATGGACCCGGTACAAGAAAAGTGATCGGCAAAGTAGTGACGTGCAGGCGGAGACGAATGATGTGTCCATGTCCAGCATGATCCGTAAGTTGCTGAGGGACGACCTTCTCCTTGGTTATCAGCTCTTTACGTTCGGTCTTCGTGGTCCTGGCACTTCTGGTTCTGCTACTTTAGTACGTGGTCCAACTCCAACGCAGAAGAGAAAGATGTCGATGAAATCGCTGGTGGATGTGAATCTGCTGACAGGGGAGGTAGCACTGCTAGCTGAAGAAGGCACTAAGCAGCAGCAGGAGCAGCAGCAGCAGCCTTGTTCTGGTGAAGATGTTGATACGGAGAAGGACTACGAGAATGCCTTCGTGGCAGACGTGCGTGCGAAAACGCAACAGCTCCTACGATGGAATCCTGGGAGCAGTAGAGATCGAGAAGATGAAACGCAAGAAATAGCTCAAGATGTTGATGAACAAACACTACAAGGAAAAATAGCCAGGAACAGGATGAAACGCAAACAGCACCTGTTAGCACAATTGAATTCCAGCTTTCTTCCACTTCCGTATGAGCCTTTCCCTGTTCCAGGCGGTCGGTTTCGGGAGGTGTACTACTGGGACACGTATTGGAACTCGCTAGGTCTCTTGGAAATAGGCCGTGGCGACGTGCTGGAGAACATGGTAAAGAACTTCGCGTACCTGTAAGGCTCAACAAGGTGATTCACATTCATAGTGGATCTTTATGCATCTTCACAGTGCTTGCTTCTCTTTTGTTTTCCACTTAGTAGAATCTAAACCTATAATTTAAGAGATCATGTTGGCTTTAGACTTACAGAGAATCAATGAATTCATCTCGTGAGCTCCTCTAATACTTTGTGAATCGCTTCGGGTACATTCCGAACGGGAACCGAGTGTACTACCTGAACCGCTCTCAGCCACCGATGTTTGCAGAGTGCGTCCTCCTATGGCTTCGTCCCAAGGTGAAGTCTGAAAACGACATGGGAAGGGAACTACAACGCAATCCACTATTCTTGTCGACTGATGACGAGGTAGTACTTGGAGGTCAGGTGCCTGGGGACGGTAGGGGGCAAGGGGGCGGCTGGTTAGAGACCTATCGCTTGCTTTTGGACAAGGAATATCCAAACCTGGACGTGGCGAGGCAGAATCTGAATGCGAGCGATCGCACGCTGTTCGAGGACTGTCTTGTGCCCGCTATTCAGAAGGAGTATCAGTACTGGATGGCTTTCAGAAGTCTCTCCTTATCTGATGATAAAAATGCTCCTCAAGAAGAACATAAACAAGATGAAGGTGAAGAAGATCATGGTGATCATGTTTCTCATCCTTCTCTAGAAGGGGCTGCTGCCTTATCGAGGACGCATAGAAATGGTCATGCTCATCTTCATGGTCCACGTCGTGTGGAAGTTCCTCGATACTACAGCATGAGCACATTAAATCACTACGATTCGCATATTGATGATGCGCCACGAGCAGAGTGCGCCGCGCGCGATATCCAGCGCAGAGACGTCGATGGCGGGTATCGAGCAATTCGTGCAGCGTGTGAGTCAGGATGGGACTTCTCGTCTAGGTGGCGGTTGCTAAGCTACCTGGATGGCGACGCGGAAGGTACTGATGCAAGTAGAAGTAGTCGTTCTAACACTTTCTTGGGGGATGAACAGCAAAGGCTGCAAGGGCAAGGCCGTGTTCTAAACATCAGAGAAGAACAACATCAGCAAGGACTGCAACAAGGGAGCAGGTCCCAACATCAACATCAAGGGCTACAACAAGGGAGGCCGAGGTCCTCATCCTCTGCGTTGCAGACACCGTTCGTTTTTCCAACTGATTTGCAGGCGATCCTGCATCGTGTGGAGCTGTTTCTTGGGACTTATTCGCGTACAAAAGAGGAACAAAGACATTACCAACAGCAGGCGGCGAAGCGGCGCGCCGCTTGTCGACGGTTCTTAGTAGAGCCGACTTCCCGTCGATTCAAAGACTTTCACTTTGGTCTCAGGAAATTTCAGCGGTTATCGTTGTCATACGCCTCAGAGCTCTGGCCTGTGTGGGGCGGTTTAGACCTGCCAGGAGCATCTGCTACTTCAGCACCAACATCAACTACATCTTTGAGGAAGAGTAAAAACAGTTCCTCCTCCTCGGAAAAAGAAGGAGACGGTTCACGTTCCTCTCCATCTTTTGCCCTCTGCTGGAATGCGATTTTACACCCTTTTCATGCCCTGGACTCAGCAGGCCCAGCCGGAAGGAAATCCACGTCTGCGCTCCACATGATAGTAACGTCGAATTATCAAGAAGAAATTCCGCAAAGTGGCAACGAAGCTGTCGAACGGGATCAGTGGGATGCGCCTAATATCTGGCCGCCGCTTCAGCATATCGCATCCAGGAGTCTAGCGTTTCTTCGCGATCTAGAAGTTGCGTTGATGTCTTCTAAATCCAAGAAGTCGAATCTTCTGCACAGTATATCGGATCCTATGAAGGACTTTCGCAGCTGCGTGGAGCACGTGTGGCAACAAGGAGCCATTGAAGAAACTACTGGCCAGCACATATTCGAAAAATATCAGTGCAGCTCCTCGAGTATTCTCGACGGTTTCGAAGGTGAAGGTGAAGGGCAACAAGGTCTGTCTGGAGGTTCTGGATATGAATGATGCTGTTTCTCCCATTTGTAACAGACCATCGTGTTCTAGGCTGCCCCTTTTTATATTCCCCTTTTATGATAACTGCACTGTAGGTTTTTGTTCTAAAGGGGGAGCCGTGATGGTTTGTCTGTAGGAGAGGGGAGAAAAAACATCATTCATACTGAAGGGGAGTACGACGTGCAAGTAGGGTTCGGTTGGACGAATGGTGTAGTACTGTATCAACAGGGACGATGAAAAGGGCTGTCTCGTTACTCGTTCATGAGTATGATAATGATGATGAATTCCAGTCTTTTTCTTTGTCCTGACAGACAAACTGCTGCGAGGCGCTCGAGCGGATGTCACCAATCGCAGGAAACACAGGAAGAAAAATCTTGATCTTCCAAAATGAAGAATTGAAATCGAAATCAGGACGACTCAGATGAATGAAAAGTGTTCAGCCATTGTTCGACATCGAGATACTACATATGGATTGGTCATTTCTTGAAAATGTGGATATGCTGTGAACAGTGTTCCTTCCCACTGGTATCCCCTAGTAGGTTGAATTCTAGTAAATGTCTTGCAGCCGAACGAGAACGAGTGACACCTGAAGAAAAAGAAATTTTTGTCTGCATCCGCATGATATTCATTGCAGCACCTTCCACATCATGACATTTGAAAAGAAATATTAGGAGGTTGGACTCTAAAATTAATATAATGAAGATCGCCAGGAACACCTTACCTCATGCGTAGAAAAGGAGCATAAGCTCAAAAAATATATATGCACGAACTTATAAGTTCTATCGGCCTTGAGCGCTAGCCTAAACCTGCAAAAGCAGACCTATCGATATGCGGCCGAATTACAACCCTGCGAAAAGAGTTAAAAGTCATCGCTTGCGTCCTTTTTAGCTTTCCTCCTTAGTGACCTCCTTGTTTTGAGAGATCCAAAAAAAAAAAATTTTCCTCCTAGTTTCCATCTAGATCCCCGCTTTTCAGATCATTATCTGAATTAAAAAAAAACTGAAAGAACTATATTTTGGCTGAATGCAAAGCTTACTACCAGACCGTTCTATTACATTTACATTCGTCGAAAAAGAGAACGAAGACCAGTCTAGTTTGCATCTAAATCCACGAACTTAAGACTTAGATTTAACGACCTTGAGGAACGGGTTGAGTGGTTGAACTTTCACTTCGTAAAAAATACCACCCAGAGCCCGCTACATAACTACTCATCCTGAGAAGGACTCGGAAGCCCAACTCTTATACCCCGAAGGGTATGTTGCCCGGATATATGCCCCGGGCCAAGACTCCAGTCACGTAGACCGTCGTCATAAAAATGCATCATAAGGGGGTCTCGTTTATTTAGAGCACCCCCGAAGGAGGTTCTCGAACTCGTAACGTTGCATCCTATATTTACGAAACCTATGGTATTTATTACAGAACTTACGGGCTACACCTTGCCATAAGATATGACTAATCCCGCGCTGTTTAAAGACCCCCCAGACCTGCTTCGCGCCCGACTCAAAATCGTCAACATTATCACAGTAGCGAAAGAAGCGTAAAAGAGCTCCCCCGGCGACAGACAGGACAGTCTTCCGGTGCTGCACGCACGCATGCATGAATATAAGTATAATGCATAATTTGGTTTCTATTCTTGATGGATAGAGCAGGAACAATTTTTGAAAGGAGTTGAGGCGGGGGAAGCCGCTACTTACCTTTTTTCTATTCTATGTATCACTTGTCGTTTCTATTAACAGATCATAGGGATATTAGGGTCTTTAGGACTTGAGGATTAACATTACGGACAGATAAGTAGTTCTTCGAGTTCTTCATCTTGTTCGGTATTTATAGACAACATGCTTGCTTAGCGTTGGCATTACCAGAATATGTTAGTACCACCAGTTTCAGTTTGGGCTTTAATGAAGATCAAAGCTATCGAAGCCTTATCAGCTCCAGTCGTCAGTTGGTTGTTGCCCATGAGTCGTCATTTCGCGTTTGTCTCGACAACTTACGTCTACATCAGCTTGTCAAGTCGCGAATGCAGTGGTGAAAGCGAGCAACTTTTTTCTTGAAGTCAACATAGATACACCACTGACTACTTCTTAGTTAGTAGCATGACCGGTTAGCTTTCCCTCAGCCTCATAATCCTTCGGTTAGGCCCAGGCCCTTCATCCAATACTTGGTTAGTAGCACGACCACGTTATTATGAATATATACATTCTTTCATTGTTGTTTCCTTGATGTTAGTTTTCAACGTGGCTGCTCCTACGCTGAGTTGGTGGAAGGAAAATAACAGCTAAGTAAGCCAGGTACTACTGATACATCTAGATTGTTCAGTCATGTAAAGCTACGAACCTGCCATATCATATTTGGTTTGGGACTGTGAAGGAACAAGAATAAGCATTTAGAATAGCTGCATAGTGGCCGCTTCTCCGACCTTCTAGTAAGTAGGCCGACCTGGCTCGGTCGTATCCGCAAGAGGTAGGGGTATTTAGTTTTATTATTTTTTCAAGCAAGCCTCTAGAAAAAACCGAATATGTGCACTACAAGTTTTTATTGACGACAGAACAAGATTTTCATTTTCTCTTTGATTGTGGTTGTCTTTTGCTCGCAGGGCCAAAATATTAATATTGTGCAGCCGTCAGGTAGATCATTGCAGGTGCTTTCAGCCAGCACTTGTTGAGATCTCACGAACGAACACTTTGGTAACTTCTGAGAGGAAGAAATTCAAAAATTTTAGATTATTGAGGAAACAAGTAATTTTTCGATGAATGTTGCGAGTGAGAGGTATTAAGAATGGACAGCTGAGTCACATTCCGAGGAAGCGAAGCGCTAGCCGCGTCATAGGTGGACTTGTAACAACCACGTCGACGACTAGTGGACGAGGCAAACGAGCAGCAGGTGGATCTTTTTCCACGACATTTGCTCCAAAATATCCTTTTAGTGGGCAACAGCATCTTCTACACGACATCCGCCACCAAAGTCAACAACAACAACATTTTAGTAGATATCTCGCTACTTTTCATCTGAGGATGTCTTGTCGTTCTTGTGGCAGCTGCGGCTCTGAGACGGAGCCGGCTTTGGGACTCCGCCCGCTCGCGGTACCGGATATTCCGGAGCCCAGTGAGGACGGCGAGCTTGTAGACCCTGAGCGCGCGCTTTTGTACATCAAACGGGAGCTGGCGGAGCTGGCCGCAGACCAAGACGCTGCGCGTTTCTTTGTGCAGTCTGAGGAGCTGCGGGTTTGCAAGTGGCGCATGCACGAGAACGGACCGAGTCGGGCACTGAAACCGACAGGAACGGACGACACGGGGCCCTGGCTCACCTCCTTCTACGTGCGCGTGCCGCAGGTTGGAGAACGGCACGACGTCGACCACCATCTCTCTTCAGATCATGGTGGTGCGACTTCGTCTTCTACGCATGGAAGAAGCTCCACCTCCCATGGCAGCTGCAGAAACACACCAGGAGTGACGCCGTTTGATGGAGAAACTTTCCTAGTGGATCTTCGTTTTAACGCGACCTATCCTGAGCTGCCACCGCAAGTGAGCTTCCGCTCGTCTGTACATCACCCGTTTTTGCAAAACGAACACAGCGTGATGCCGGTTCTGTTCTACCAAGGGATCGAGACAGTCCTTAGGGGTGGACCAGAGCAGCAGAGCATGAGCGACCATGCAGGTGGTGCTGCGAACGGGAGCAGTGGAACTACCTCTACTTCTAGTTGTACTGGCACAGGAGGAGCCTCTTCGAGTACAGTTGTATCTACTTCGAATAAGCGAAGACAAGGAGACCAGCAGCTAGAGGGGCAGCACCAACTGCAGCAGCACTACACTGTCCGCAACGTGCTGCGAGGTGTCTTGTCGTTCTTGAAGACGGGCATGGAGCAGCAGAATGCCAGCATGGACCGAATTCTGAGCAGCTACCCAGAACAAGAACTGTTCCGAAAGAACATCGAGCAGTACAAACCTCACCGCAAGACCCGGCGCTTCTTCGAGATTCGGGGCTGCGACGACCTCCCAGACGAATGGCTAGACCCGCAATTCCTCGCGTGGCGCAAAGCAGGCTATCCGCTGGAAGAACACGACTGCTCGCCCTCTACAGGAGCTTGTGCAGTGACCACGCATCGTCCGGACATTTACAGTTTTCCGATGTTCACGATGGAGTTCTGTGACGCCTTGGTGGCAGAGGTGAGGTCTATCTATGCCTCAGGAGTCGAGGTGCAGAGGCCGAACTCCATGAACCGCTATGGCGTGATTCTCAACTACATCGGCATGGAAGGCTTCATGACGGCCATTCAGCGACTGGTGCAGCAAACACAACTCGCAGTGCGGAAATTTGGCGCTGTCGGAAGCAGTTGGGATGGCCACCACTCGTTCATCGTGCAATACTTATGTTTACCCGGCGCATTGAAATTACCTAAAACAGCCAGTTAGTTTTCACCTCTTCACTATAGCTCTAAATGTATCCCTTCATGCAACATTTTCTACATTTAATATGTTGGTCATGCTGGTGCTAGAGATTACGATTGAGTACCTGCTCGTTTCCACCTGCAAATATATCTGGGCATGTTCTAAGAAGCAAGTTAAAAGATCTACAAGAAGGTCGAAAGTTGGATGAAAGCGATAATCTACTTCTTCAACGACCCCATTCGCAGTAGATTGATTGATCATACAGGTTAAAAATGAGAAATACGGAGTACCAGTACCACTACCACTACAAGGTCCTCCTGTAAAAAAATAGATTATATGAAAGATTGAACAAATGATCTACTTCCTCTTTCATCCTTTGCGCCCGGCAAGGACCTCGGCCTGGACATGCACACCGACGATAGTGACGTGACCATGAACATTTGTCTGGGCGTTGATTTCGAAGGGTCCCAGGTGGCGTTCTGCGGCAGGATGGGCGCGAAAGACCACCGCAAGCAGAATTACATCTACGAACAGAAGAAGGGGCGTTGTTTGATCCATTTAGGCAGACAGCGTCACGGCGCAGTGGACATCAAGAAAGGAGAGCGCATGAATCTCATCATCTGGAATCGCTCTCGACTCTGGCGATCAACAGACGAGAGCCGCAGGCAGATCTTCGTGCCGGAGGACGGCAAGCCAGACGAAGTGTGCTTGAGCTACACGCACGACCGCGATTACGGGGTGTTCAAGCGATACCCAGAGGCCTTCAAGAAATTCAAAGGGCGCGGCTGGTGTCCTCCGAAGGCGGCAGAGTATCCGGGCTTTGTGCCGGAAAACTAGTCCTCGTCGTGTAGCTTGCTCCAACAATGCGGTGAAGAAGATAATGTCTTGATGATCAGCTTCACAACTTTACAACTAGTACATCAACATGTTTATCATGTTTTGAAATTTTGAGCACAACTAGATGAAGCTGGGGAGTACACGGCGAACAGGGTGAAGCTCGTCTACTTACAGCATGAGCAGATGAAAAAGAAGCAGCTGCACAAGAAGAAGTAGAAAATTTCAAATACCGAGGAGCGAAGGAAAAGATGCCGCTGGAGGGGGGCAACATTTGACGGGCGCGTAGTAAACTATAGAGCCAACAGGTCCTCAGCACTAATTATAGAGGAAACTCCACGAGGAGCACTCAGTGTTGTGTTGTCAAACTTGCACTGTTCTCCAGCGTGGGGACGATTGCGAACGCTTTTCTCCCTGCTGCTCGTGCTGGCTTACACGAGGAGGACTTCCATCATGGGGAAGTAGGGAAGTAGGATTGCGCGAGGGCACGCGCACGTCACTGAGGCACAGAAAATGCGCCTTGTGGACTTGCGCCAATGCTTGGCCGCTGTGTTGATTCGTGCCCTTGATCCCATGAAATCCAGAGCGGTTCCATCTTGTAGACGTTACCCCCCAAAGCAACGCATTTTTAATTCATCTTCGAGGCAATAATCGAATGAAGAATACAACCAAGTTCCGGCTTTCACTGTGCATGCTTGTTTTCCTTTTACATGATTCATTCTCGTGTAAGTACTATTTGTTCCTTCTCCTTCTACTTCACTACAACACTAATTAACCTAAGGACTTGTTCATTCTGCTTGAAAATCTATTAATGTTACATAGTGGAGGCGGCGATGAAACGATCGAATACAAGACTGGACGTTGCGAAGCATGTGCGTTCTTGATTGCTTCAAATCCACACTTCATAAATTTCCTATGATTTTCATATGACGTGGTCGTGTGCAAGTAGACGGAACTATTGTGGCAGGAGGATGAGACTCGGGCACAACACGTACTACAACAGCTAAGCTACGTTGTATACATGCTTTCATCGAAGAAAACTTTGGTTGTTGAGTGTTCCTTTGTTGCTGTATTTTCTTGGGGTACTAAGTTCGAGAGGTCGGACTCGGATCACGAGATCACGACCAAGGCCTCCATTATCCGGTAGCCTTTTGACCTCCTGAGAAGTGCAGCCGCCTTACTAGCAAGGATCTTCTGGAGTCGGTTTATAGTATCCCTCCTGGAGGTCCAGAAAAGATGAAGATCTTCAACTGACACGACCAGCGAGGATGTTAATCAAGATCAATCTAAGTACAACTTGTTTTAGTTCATCAACCGTGATGATCTGTGATTTGTGACGTCGTAGTACTAGGGCGAGCTCTCATAACGTAGTTGCATTTTCTTCGGCGAACTACTAGGCAAGGCGCAAGAAGATCTGGTTCCCTCTGATCCGTGAGGCATTATTCTTGAAAAAATCAAGCATCTGATCCGAGATCATCAACTTATACGGAAAGGATGTATTGTCAACTTTACTATTATGAACAAACATGATCTGCAAGATCTCTTCCAGAAGATCACTTCCAATCCTTCACTACAACGTGGCAGATAGAGACTGCGTTTCCAAGGCACATATTTATAAAGGCGACAACATACTACCTGTAAACGCGACAACATATTTCAAATACGGCAACATATTTTCAAACACAACAACATGAACGACTTTTCTAGTGTTTTTTTCAAATGACTGAAGTAGATTATCTACCACAACTAAAGAACAAGTATTCATGATTGGTTTTCGACTGAGCAAGGTTCGAATTTTTTCCTACTTTGAAGGGCAAGAGACCTACATCTAGAAGAAGGCCTAGGATAAGGAAACATACAAATCTACTATGTCTATGCATCATAAAAAGTAGAATTTGATAGTTTCAAGTACGTTCATGATATTCTTGCCCATTGGGACTGCGATAGTATGGAGAGGATAACATATTAATCTAGATCTACATACTTTATTTACTTAATGATCTTAGACAACCCAAAGGAAATAAAGATGACGGATGATATCGACGAAGTAGAGAGAGCGATGGCGGGAGATGCGGCTTCCTTGAAGGAAAATCCAGGCTATTTGATCAGTTCCGATGAAGCCCACGGCGGCCGCATCTTGGTGGCATCCCGCGATTACCAGTGTGGGGCCATCATTTTCAAGGAGGCACCGATGCAGACATCTCATACACCGTTAAGGCTGCCCATGTTCATGTTGATAATTCATCTTCGTCTACAGTCGCAGTGAGGATATGGATAAAATAAAACAACCGGCGGTTCGTTTTTCGCTCTTTTTCTTTGGTGTATCCTTTCAAGCAATTATAGAATTTATCTTCGTACTAGAACTAGAAGTTGTTTCCTTCTAGGTGTTGACTTCGGACAGCAGAGCTTTGTTCGTTTTCTTCATCTAATATCGTAAGCTACTTACTTCTAATATCGGTGAAGCTGAGCTGCGATATTGGACTACTGCAAGACTTTTTGGAGATGCCGGAGCGGAGCCAAGCGCGTTTTGTCCGGATGCATAATGAGCCGTCATTCTGCAAAGAGAGGGCGACGCAAGTGACCCGTGCTGCACAGAAAGAGCCTTCAAGCGGTTGCATTACAACTAAGGCTCGATTATAGAGTTGTTGTACATGATTCCAACATTTTCGAGAATTCCAAGAGTCATCATGATTTTCTCCTCTGTCTTTGCCCATTGGGATTCTGAAGAAATAAAGGCACGAAATATGAGAATTGAAAGTTTTTCATCTCATCTGTCAAGTAGTTTTTTCGACTATCTTCTAAGGTGAACAAGGTTGTTTTGCGTTCTAATTCTTGTAGCGGCGGAGGCGGTTCTGGGCCAGCCCCGAAACATGGTCCAATCAGGAAAATGCTGCACGACTTGGTTTTCCGCCTCCGTCAGCTGGACCCGGTCTCCTATCCAAACCCACTGGCTTTGCAACCTGGGAATCGGCCACTTCCGAACTTCTCGATGTTGAGCACCCTGAAGAAGAAGAGAATGCTGATGCCCAGGGAAGCGGAGGTGGAAAGAGCTGTTGGGCAAATCTTATCGACTTGGGACCTGAATGCCTATTCCGTCCCCGATGACTCTGCCCTTGTAAATGATCCATACCTGGCGCAATTGTTGAAGTTCTCCACCTCCACCAAGAAGGCGATCGAAAAGGCTGAGGCTGCCCATCAGAAACGCATAGAAAAATGTCGTCCGCAAATGGAACTGGAAGAACGGAAGAAGAAGAAGAAGAAGGACCACAACAACGCTGCTGAAGATGAAGATTCGGAAGTAGAGGAGGATGGCGAAAGTTCCTCTTCTTCTGATGAAGGAGAGGACGAAGATCAAGATTCTGACGATGAAGAGTCTGACATGATCTCCATTGAGGATAGTGAAGATGAAGAAGAGCAGCAGGAGCAGGGTGGGTCTGACGAGGATCGGACGCATGATGGGCAGCCAGGAGGAGAAGGAGATGGTGAACAAGCACAAGCTGGTGGTGAAAACGATGCGGAAGACGACGAGATGACTGAAACAACGACCTCCTCCACGACTCCTCAGGAGCGCGCGAAAAAGGACAAAGCACTCAAAATCGAGAGCATTGAACACCGATCTTTGTTTCCAGAGGTTGCGTTGATCCCGCATTCCTGTTCGCCTAATGTAAGCATCACTACAGGAGGCTGGTATTGTCCCAATTTATCATCGTACGATACTAATACACAAATACTTGGTACAAATCCTGGAAATTCTAGCACCTCCAGTACTTCGACTACTTCTTCAAATGCCACTATTGGAGGCGAATCCCCAGGCTCTACTGCATCTACAAGTTGCAGCACACCATCTTCAGAGGTTGCCGCGACGTCCTCTCCCTCCACGGAGGACACCTTGATGTCCTCACCAGCTGCGCCTACAACCGCGACGAACAGCACCACCAAGATGAGAACCACGATGATGAACAAGAAGACTGAGAATTATGTTGATGTGGGCATCGCAGTCGTGCGTGCTACCAAAGATATTAAGGCTGGCGACGTGTTGGCCAGTTTCTACCCTGAAGACCGTTCTGTGCTTTTTTTGCCCGTCCATCTTCGCCAGCAACTGCTGAAGCATCAAAGGGCCTTCACTTGTGCTTGCCCACGCTGCACTAATTATGGCTTGAGACATAACTCCATCTTCCCCCACAGCTCCGCCCCGTTTTCAAGAGAGAACGAGAGGACTCAGGACGCTGACCAAGATGGATTTTTGCAAGGTCTAAACTAACGAAAAACGACAGCAGGAACAACAAGAAGAACTACCGCCGAACACGACGACCACAGCTCCTGCTTATCTGGAAGATTTGAAGATGTTTGAAACGTTTGTAGTCGATGATGAGATCAGTACTCTTCCGGAGGAAGATGTGCCAGATTTTCTAACACAAATTGGTGGGCGGATCGTTGACACTTTTGGCAACGACCATTGGCTCTTTGCGTGGGTGCACTACCAGAATTTCGAGGCTTTGGAAAAAGTTTATACGGGAGATAATTCGGAGACAGCCAAGGATATGGCGTTTTCGGCCGCCATTTTTCTCGACTACTGGGGCAATTAAGGCACTTTTCGTTTTTACTTACACTAAATAATCCACCTTGCTTTTCTATTTCTACACCAGCATCCTCATATTAAATATCATGTATCAAGAAAGGTTAGAGTTAGTACCTCCTCCCAGGACAACATGAAGATGAATCATTTAAGTATTAAAGATCTAATAGCAGTGGTTCCAGAGAGAGTTTCTTCCTGCCCTGGGCATCCGCAATTGTGGTAGCAGGTACTCAAACCACTACCTCTGGCAGACGAGCGTGCTTAACCGCCTCTCGTTTTTGGACCAGTTTGTGATGATGAACATTCCTTTGACGGAGAAGAACACCACCAAGGTTTTCACTCAGTTACAAAGCCGAATTCTCAATTGGATCGTGCTCTTGATGGGTGTCGGCGAGCGCTGCGACCAAGTGCCCACCGCTGTGAAGACTGGAGGAATCATTAAGGGCCGAACGCCTCTCCAATCTCTTCCTCAAGCTGCTGCTCTACTACAACGCGGTGAACGTGGTCAAGAACAAAATGATCAACATGGCCTCCAACAAACGCAAGTAGATCTTCAAGATGGTGCCAATACGGATGCAGGTCTACAACTCCTGCAAGAAGAGGAAGACGAGATCCTCAGAGAGATGTTGATTCAACCGCCGATGTTCGGCGTTTGTGTTTCATCTTCTACTTCGAGTACAACTACTGAAAAGGATGAAGTTCAGCAAGAAGTTGATGAGGAGGAAGTGGAGGAGCCTCGTCTGGTCCACGAGTCAGAGTTGAACTGCACTTTTCACTATTCTGATAGCGTCACAGACTACAGTTAAGGCTCGATGTAATTCATTTCCAAGAGTCATCTGCTTCTGGAGATTTTCCCTTGGGATTCTGAAGAAATGAAGGCAAGAAATGAATTGCTTTGCGCTCTAATGCAGGCTTCGTTACGTACTTTTATGCAGTGGTTTGTACATGGATGAAGTCTTACTTTGTTACGACGATGTCACAAGAGAGCTCGTACGCGCCGCAAATGAGTTAGCAGAGCAAAAAGAAACGCGAAGGGTCGCGGCACACAATGAAAAGGTAGGGAGACTACAAGAACTAGCCGCAGCAATAAAGAATAAAAAGTTAGCTGCAGGGGATGAAGATGAACAAGAACAGGAAGAGACGAAAACAAAAAGTACTTCTACAACTAAACAAATCGAAGAGCATGAACAACTTCTCGAACAGCTGCAAAATGAACAAGATGAAGTATACTGGAAGCCGACTGGAGCATGGCTGTGGAACAAGAAGATGGAGCGCCTCTCTACTCGCTCACTCGCGGACTTACCAGATCGCGACCTGCACTTCCTGGATGATGACAAGTTTCAATCTCTCTGTTCTTTCGCTTTCGTAGGAGAAGACCTTATGGACTTGCTAGCCGACGCAGTGGAGGAAGTATGAGGACAAAAAACGCGAAAGATGGGATTCGGAACACCTAGTACGACGTTCGTTCGGGTTGGTGACAGACTTCATGGTACTATGATAAGTTTGAGTATGAGAAGAAGAAGAAAATGACGACATACTTAGATAAGAACACGTCCCAGCTTATTGCATCAAAGATTGATGAATGAATGCCAACACGGTGCAACAGACATGAGGTGAATGACTTGATCTGATGAAAATCTAGCGCTTCTGCCTGCGTTAAGTGAATTTAGGTATCAAGATGAGCATGAGGATCAAGGTCAATAAGAAGTGGCACCACTCGAAATGAAGTTGAACAGGAAGGAGACAGTAGCGATCGAGATTTTACAAGCATAGGAATGCTCGAGTCAAACATATTGTTGGAAATATCTATGCTCAACGAACTGGAGGAGGACGACGAGCACATCACTACTTTGTGTGTGATTCTGAAATCATAGTATTAAAAACCTATACCATTCTTTCCGCGAACAAGAGCATGATTCACATTCATGTACTTGTATCCATAGTTCAACTTCAACTTCAACATTCATTTACAGATGTGCTGCCTATCTTCTAGCTTCTTTGTATTCTTTCTATCTTCTATCTTCTTTGGCCTTGTTTGTATTCCTTCGTTTATAACTTTTCTTTTTGTGAAATCTGAAGGAATCTTTTTCCTTTTGTAGAACTCATATCAATGTACGACCCCTACCCCTACACAGGCGCAGCTTGTTAGATCTCGCAAGCCATCATTTTCGTGACAAGAAATAAGGAGGTCTTTGTTGGGGAGGGTTTTTGTTCTTGTTACCAAAGAACGAATGCACTTCCCATGTGGATGGACAGCGACATGTGAGGTTTTTGCAGACCTACAGCGACAAGCGACACCTACAGCAGTAAGTAACCTAACATTACAACATCAAAAAAAACTACCTCTGGTGGATCTGCAGAACCTCCGTGTCCCATAATGCGCATATTAAAAACAGTTTCTGAAGAATAGATTGGACATGCTTGTTCATCGTGATGGGCAAAGAAGATGTGTGTTCTCCTTCTCTACTTCAGCCACAAGTTCTCTACTTCAGCCACTTGTTCTATGACGAGTAGTACTTGTATTGTGCTGTGCCACTGCCAGCATGATCATGAAACTATAATATGTAAATAATGAGATTGAGAGCGTGGTGTGCTGCTACTGCTGAGGATGAACGCAGCGCCTGTGGGTGCTAAGCATGAGAGCATTTGAGTGGGTGTTCCTAATCATTAACCAACAAGCATTGAGTATGAAAGAAGAACGAGAACGACGAGTGTTGCATTGCGCTGGTTTTCAATGTGCACGCCGTGGTGTAGTGCAAAGAATTATTGTTATGATTCACAAGGACCTCCACGTCGCCACTACGAGGGCTACGTCCACAACGAGCGCTATTCGAGAAGAACCTCCGTTATTATATTATAAAGCCCTCCACTTGTTCAACATAGGAATTTATTAAGCGAGATTTCTTCTGTTGTGTGCTACGTTCGATTCAACAAAGAACCACATCCTCATCCAGATTGTCGATCTCAGTATTTTGTAGCGACCTGGCATATCCTGACTTGTCCCGAAAGAACTGCCTAGCTTTTCACACGACAACTTTTTTGAAGCTTTCTTGCCTTTTGGTTTTGCATTTGTAGTTGTAAGCAACATGTAAGGCATTGATAATTCGTGCTCGGGAAACTCAAAGAGAGCTCGTACTTCTTGTTATTTTTAGTACGTCATTCAGTGGAGCTGTACTAGAAGAAAAAATGCAGAGCTCCGATTGGTGCTGTGTCGGTGGCCGGGGCGGTAAGGATGAGGTAGCAAAACCGCCAAGGAATAGTCGAAAAAAGGGCGCCAGAAAACTTCCGTTGGTCCCCGAAGGGGAGCAGCAACCTGATGACACCGGTGATTTACCAATCATTATGGGCACTTACGATCAAGGCTACGACGAAGATTGTCGTGGCGCTAGTGCGAAGCCGCAGATCATAACGGTGGAAGACGGGCTTGGTGAAGTAGATGCTGGTTGGAAGCTGACCGCAGAGCGCTTGGTGACTGATGCAACCCGCGCTCGAAACCATTCAAAAGAGGACGAATATCAAGACGCAGAAAGTAGACATGATTCTGACGTCGATCTTCTACTTATATCGTTGAAAGATCATGATACACCCGAAGAATCTAAGATCCCGATCGACGTATTTCGCAACCTCCTTATATCAGATGACGAAGGCTGTGCTGAAGATTACATGCTACGCCTAAGAGACCACGACAATCATCACATTGTTCAACACCACGAACAGCAACGGGTTGAATCGACGAACAGGGTCTACTTGAAAGCGACTCGTCAAGACCAAGACGACTATGCCGTTGCTGTTAAAAAGGGGACTGATCTATTTCAGCGAAAACTAAATGACGATGCAGCACTTCTTGGATTTGGAAGAAGTCCTGTTCCGATTCCTGCTCCTCGCGTCTCTTACGAAGGGGAAGTCTGGAATTGCAGTGCAAGCGAGAAAGGATTTCCTGTGGAGGGTGTTCCTGGTGCTAGAATGGTCGGCGTGACCTTGCAGATGAGCAATACCAGTGTTGAGGACTACTTTGATTAGGGCTCAAAAAATAAAATACAAATAGACTTCAGTCATTTATATGAATTTAAGTAATTTCTCCTCGTTGTGCAGGATGATCCATAACCTACTACTTGACCTAACCTTTCTACAGCCAGTCATTGTTTTGCGCTCTAATTTGATATTTTCGTGGCTGCACGGGAGGAGGACCGCTTTACACCGGGAATCGTGACAAAATTGATGGAGGGAAAGTTCGAAGAACACAAAATGAGCAGCAAGAGTAAAGAGGTGTTGGGAAATTACACGGAGTCAAATTTGCGAGCAAAAACTGCCATAAGCGCGAAAAGAGCTCGCTTTCCTTGCCGTCAGTGGTACCCCTCGGCCTTGACCAACATTACCAGGTTTAACAGGGATTATCGTAATCCGAATCAATGGTGGATTGACGGTGAACCGACCTGGGGTGTCGACGATCGTGGGCAACAAACCTACACGCTGAACATTTTCTCAGCCGAGAAGACTTTTGCCTATTCCTGCAACATTCAGGAAACGCTAACCTTCACCTTTCTACAGGATATTACTACAGATGAAGATGATACTGATAATATTACGTTTACATCAAAATCATTGCCGGAGAGCGAGAGGCACAACAAGAACAACTCGATCTTCAACAAGAACCGGAGTAGTAGTACTAGACCACGGTCTAGACCACGACCATCTGTTGGATTTGAAATTTTTCACACAGTGGTTCCCTTAGACGGGAAGATTATGGGTTTCCCACACTACAACTGCTTCGAATTGTACATGGTAACTAAAGCCCACTTGTTTGAGGCTGAAGCTGACTGCTCGGATGAAGATGCCGAACAACAAGGAGAAGCAGAAGGACGAGAGATTCGTATTGATGTGGATGAACAAGCTGATCCATCTGCTCTTGTTACTTCACGACAAGACTCAATTGAAGACTCGATTTTTGAGGAACAGGAAGGTTCTCGGGAGCATTCGACACCGTCGACGGCTTTTACCCCTCGTGACTCTTGCTCTTCCTCTTCCTCTGATTTCCCTCAGCAGGTGAATATAGGAGCAGGAGGCCATCTTGAAAACGATGACGCTGTTGTAAAGGTAGCTTACAAGAACAAGGGGGAGGACGGTACTCATCCTCAAGTTGGCCTTAGAAGTCTCGGACTTGGTACAAACGCCACAACCAAGAACACGATGAAGAAAGTGAAGATGCCTACGAGACATAGAAGGAATAACATGATCTTGGAGATTCGGGAGTCACAGCGTGTAGCCCCATTCCCCCGCTCACCAGCGATGGTAAACAGCGCATTTCTACCTTTGGTTGGCAACATGGATCACGAATGGGTTACGAGTATCAAACGCTTGATCAAAACGATGCGCAGTTTTGAGGAGTAAGAAGCATTCTTGTTTTTGATACTTATACAAGAGGAACGTACAACCGGGTTTTGATGCAAAATTGTATCTATTAGGAGGTGATATTAAAAACCTATTAAACAGGAGGACTAGGAGAAGTAAGACTAATTTTCTAGAAAATTCTGGTGCAGCTTCACTGGGAGAACAAAAACATTAGTTACGTCCGATCTCTGCGCTTAACCTTAGCGCTGGCCTGCTTTTCTGATTTCGGGTTTGCTAGTCGTAGTTAATTGCTTACCTGTCAGTTCATGCTTTAGGTGGTTCATCAGTAAGTCAATCATCAGAGTTGCGGCGTGTCATACCCCTGCAGGTGTGCTGACTTGCTCATGGGGCCCCGCTGCGTCGGGTTGCGCCTTAGTTTTTCTACAGGGTTCGAATGTACGGCTTCTCCGATAGGTGTAGACTTGTGGCCGAATGTGCGGCCTTATGCGCCCCCAGTATTTAATTTGTTTGCCATTAGTTGAACGAGTTAATTAATTGTTTGAAGGCGGTAGCATATAGTCCTAACGCAAAAAAAAATGTACTCATAAGGACAGCACTATCAGGGACGTACACATGACAATATGATATAGCGCCTAGAACTCAGGATGGAGGAGTTACACCCACTTTGACTTCTGATATCCGTATGATTGAATTATCATTTTTATCGTGAATTTAATGTGGTCTACTGGTAAAATAGTTGTCGGGAGAAGTTATGAATTGTACAGCTACGACTATGGACGGAGATGAGAGGGGTCTTGACCGAGTATCTGTACAGACAGGATTTAATAGCCTTGCAGCAAGCCAAGGCTTGCTGATGCAGAGACAAAACAATGATTTCTCAGTCACATTAACAGTGATAGCATTGATGATGTACAACTATCTAGAAAAATTTTCTTGCACAAGTTTTACCTGTTGAACTTGTTGAGCACTAGGTGTATAGGAAGGTGATCATGATTGATGGTTTCTCACTGCGTGGAGTTGAGAACCGGAATCCATGGATCCCTTAGCCAGAGCTAAAAACTACGTGCTTCTAGATGAAGATGACTTTTATGTGGTCGAAAAGGATCATGGACGAGCACCAGAGTGTTCAGAACGATCAGCACGTTTTCGGACTGAGAAATCAGTCAGAGGAGGTATCTTCAAGCCTGTCACCACACGACGGAGCACCACGACCAATAAATTACGTTCTTTGCCCGCTATTTTTCTGGAAAAACTTTAGGTTCTCAAGAAACTGCGAAAAGGACGGACTATAAGGCCTCAGTACTTACTGGGCTGAAACAAGATTTTAAGTGTACAACAACTAGGATGACGAAGAGGGGGCGCCCCATGAAGGACCTTGTTTCGTAGCTACAACAACTAGATCGATGGATAAAGTTCCGGAATTAGCTGGCTGAAAGCTGGCTTGTTTCTTTCGATCATTAGGTGTGATGTAAACAATCTGAAAAATCCTTCTTGAACTTGAACAATATTGCTGAGTTAAATAAGCGAAGAAGCCAGAAACATATAATGTCGATCTTGATGCAAAAATAACTTGGACTCCTCGTCTCACCGCAGCAAGACGCTAAGTGACGGACCAACGCCAACGTCAAATGCCGAGATCTTCAGTGTCACAACGAGCGGTCGGAGGAAGGCGATGAAAGTATATTTACTCAACGCGTCGGGAGGACTCTTGTCACGCACGGTCGTGGATAGCAGCAAGGGAAACCGCAACAATTATATTCGAGCCTCAGCGCAGTAGGACTAGGAATCGCGAGATCCGTGGTCTCGAAAAAGGTAGCTTGAATCTCTTCAACTACGGCGGACCAACTATTAATTTTCCTTGGAGCAGTCATCTTCGGCTTCGGTTTCGCCATCGATCTGTACCACGAACCTTTGGCAAGTTAATACAGCCCTTGTCCTCTTCAAAAACAACACAAACACCTCCAATCTTGATCTTGTTCAAAAATAACGAGCAAGAACAAGAAGAGCAAGTTCAAGATGATGAAATTCAATGAGAGCACTCCAAAATGGCTGTCAGAGGACCGCTGCGCCGCGTTGAACACCCTCCTAGATTTCAAACCTGCGTTCACGACGGCAGAAACCTTCAGCTGTTGCACTGGGCAGTATGGCCCTTTTCAGACCGGGAAGAAAATCAAGCTGCCAATATGGCTTGCACTACAACTAGAGGAGAAGAATCGCGGGATCTTGTACCCACCTTCCTGGCTGGATGAGCGTATTCATTGATTTCATTTTAATTCTTTTCGAGAACGTGTCAACATGCATGGTAAGCCTACTTGCTCAGGACCATTTTTTTTTCGCCTCCTCTGTAATATACTACTAATCGGGTCATCACGGAACCAGTTTGTTAGCTACTAGAAGTAGCTGCTACGTGCTTCGACTGAATGAATGAACGATTGTCGTGTTGCACCAACTTTATCGGAGTTTCTTCTGATGAAGCCATATTTGTTCAACAGATTTACAAATTCACGAAGATTTAGATTTAAGTCTACACGAGTGTCTAAATCTTGTTGCTCAGGACCATTTATTACTATCATCATCTCAGACAAGCTCCGGATGGTTATCGTGAATGAGCGGCGAGACATGAGAAGCTTCCAGCCTGTGGACGAATGGTTTGTCTACGTCGGACACACACTGCTAACGCGAGGCAAATGGTTCCAGCTAAAAGAGAAGGAGCCAACGGAAATCGCATTCCAGGAGCTCATAGACGTTCGCAGGCACAAAGCTACAGAGGTTACGAGGGCATATCCAGGAGTGTGTAGGTCCTGAGTCATGATGAGTTACTTAATATACAACATAGTGAACTACTTGCTGCCACCAACATGTTCGAAAAGTCGCTTCATCTAGCACTAGATTTGTAGTAGTTGTTGGAGTTATGCTTGACGTTACATGAAGAGCCCCCGCATCATGATCAATTCGACAATATTTCCAGTATCACGGTTACGCCCGCTTACCTCTGGAATAGGTGCATCACATTCAAGCAGTCAATCAATCAATTAATCAATCAATCACAATTTATTTTTCCTGCTTCTTTCATTTTCTGAATGCGGCAGCTGAATTGTAAGGAGGTTCTGCTAGAGTGCACAAATATGACGAGGCCTGAAATAACGTGGTATCGGGAAAGAGCAATAGCAGGAATGGATTATCTCCATTCATTGAATGAGGAAGAGGTACTGAAGTTCATTGATTGAGGATAGTCATTTGAGATGCACAGATGACATGAAGTTCATGATGTTGCTAAGTTCATCTTATATATAAATATTTTTCACCCATCGATCTTCTTCAGCGTTATCTTCAAACAATGGTCACATTCACAGCGCAAAGGCATGGCTGCTCCGTCTTCAACAAAGAGTGGTGGCGACACAGCATCAAGCGAGAAAAAATCAGATACCTCGATATCGAGCGCACAGCAGCGACTCTTATGGCTTGAGGTAGTCCCTCCTCCCCAGCATCTTGGTCACGTTTTGAATTGAAAGCGGGCACCGAGATGCTCACCAGGATGGACTTCTGCAAGTTCTAAGAATCAGCGACCCTGGTGGTGCTAACAGCAGTTTGCTTGGTGGTAACCTTGGCGGTCTTGGCGCTAGCTCACTAGGACAAGATCAGGCCAGCATGCTCATAAGAGACATACGCGTACCACCATGATGAAAGGGACGGCAACATCTTGTTCTCACGATTTTCCTGGTTAAGAAATTAGAATTTCTGATCCCGCCACAATTGGTGTTTTGAAACGACAGAGGTTTTTACATAAGTACAACTATGACAGTTTAGTACAGCGCAACATGTACTACCTGCGTCATCTGAGAGCACCTGCTTGTGCGCATTTTCCTTGTGCAGTTGTGTGAGCATTCACACCACACAGCGTGTTCGTCTCGCGAGCGGCTTGCGCAGCTGCTTTACTCAATTTCGGCGTGTGAGAGAGACACCGAAAGAAAGATCTCATGAGACGCACTCGACGAATATTGGGCATCCACTACTTGATTATTTAGTAGTTCCCACCTCTATTGATCCCTATGGAGGGAGTTGCTTAGTCTTAAGAATGGCCTCCCGTCATCGTTGTTTTGCGTGTCTCCGTGCAGACCACTTCTTTAGGTCCGTCTTGCAGTACGCCATCTGCACGAATAAGTGGTAATGCAACGTGAACAGCAAGAAGAGATGTTTCAAACTTCGACGTAAAAATGGCGATAGTCGTCATGATATAATTAAGGGTTTCGACATTGCGTTCTTCACTGCCATCCTTGCCTCGTTTTCCAGTAGGAAAAGGGTCGAGGATGGTCTGAAGAATGTAATTCCGTAACCTCTAATGAGACTCCTCCTCATCAGCTTCATCAGCTTCTTCTGTGGAGGCAACCTGACTGATGCAGCTGGTCTTTTGTCCCCACCCAGTCTACGTCAGTTGCTATAAGAACACGGTACTTCTATTTCTACTGTACTAGATTCGCTTGGGCTTGCTGCTTTTCTTTAGGCCGCGGATCATTGAAGTTTTGTTCACTGGATCAGCATGTGGGCGCACGACTTCCTTGCCGCTGAGCCAGTGGCGAAGACATACCTGACCCACATCAAAAGCAACAACGTTGTCGGCCGTTGGTGGTATTCGGAGTACTACCTTCCGCAGAAAAGTAGGCTCAGCAGTGCTCTCAGATTCATCCGCCTGTCTATCAGTCTCTGCCTCTTCCTCATCATCGTCGCTCACATAACCGATGGAACAAATTGGGAATATGTTATGGAAGAATAAGAAATACGCCTAGAAGGCCTAAGCGAATCAATGGTGCTTGTAGTTCTTGTCATCCCTATTGCTGTAAGAAAGTGCATCTGCTTCTCTGAGAGAGTTCTCGTTGTGACGGAGCGATCAGCATAGCATATCTCCCACATTTAACTTTGACGAATTCCTGATAGCTTCCTCTTTTCCCGTTTCATATCTTGCGCCCAGTGCCTGCGGAGATTGGATTGCAAGATCAATTGCGTACACGACAACTTTCCAAACCTCAACTGCCACCGAAAAGCCTACAACTTGCTCGCAACGACGGCCGCAGAGGTTGATGACCTCTCCCGCTCGTCCGCCAATGCCAGAGCTTTTATTAAGGCTAGTTTATCACTATCCCATGTGAACTGTGCTGAGTGAAGTGATTTATAGGCCAAATGAGCGCGAAAATGAGCAACGCACTCAACCGCGGATAGTGGAAGACTAGCGCTAATTTTCCCATCACATATGCGGGGAATGTTTACTCGCGACTGTTCGACTACCGTCTTGCCTCAGACGAGAAGGCAAACGCGCAAGGGTTTAACGATTGTCGCAATTTAAGAGTCAGTGACAACTACAAAAGAAGAGGCTAAATCATTTTTACTTACTGTGGTAATCATCGATTCTAGAAGAACTGCTACTGCTCGTGTCCTGCTTTGGAGATCATGGCAAAGAATCTAGTATCAATGATCTTCGATCTACTAAACAATGTGGCAGTGCCGAAAGAGACGATGACAGCTACGCAGACAGTAGAGAGTCTGCTACACGATTCGCGGCTCCCGCGCACTCAGATATGCTTTCCACCATGTCGGGATCTCGACCCAACGTACCCAGGACAAAGCTTGATCGGAGCACAGTACATGTTTTATGCTGACGGAACTGGATCAAGTACTAGAAATAGAAGCAGTGAAGATGCTGGCGCCACAAGTAGAGATATTCGGTACAAGAAAGACGGTAGATGACGTACTAGAGGTCCAGGTTCTTGAGGTTGTATCTTCTAGATGATGCTAATACTTCTTAAAGATCATCACTAATATCTCGAATAAGTCTCCCTTTCCTCCGTTTCATACTTGCGGTGGTAGTACTGCGGGTTCGAGTGCGTGGTCGAGCGGACTCAATACCAATACAACGACCTTGCTGGGAGATGACAGACCTTCGTGTAGCCAGCTGACCTCTGATGACCAACAGAAGCGCCTCATATGCGTAGATGATAGCGACTCTTGCGAGAAGACCATCTACAAGAGTGAGATCTGCCTCAATTGTGCTACGGGAGAGCCCGTTGCCAACGTGGTCGGCTCTGTGGATGCTGCGTGTATGGAAACAAAGGACTTCTATTCTTGAGATGTCGACTTCTAGTTTCAATGTGAAGTCATCTGCTCAATTTGTTCTAACCATGATGACTTTATTGAACAAAATAGACAAGAAGGATTTAGTTTTGTTGTGATCGTCTCCAATCCAGCCGCGGCATCGTCATCCAGTGCAGAAGCCCCTGCGAGCGATCACGCGGGATTGCGCGCACGGAGAGCCGGTTGTTGGTGCTTCACAATCGAACACATCATCGTCTGCATGTGCGTTGCCTTGCCTTTTCTGTTTCTCTACAACGTGCTCACCTACTTCACTTCCCAAGTCGACGTTGGCGTCGAGGATGGGAGTGTTGCCAATGGCTGTCTAAAGTGCGGGATGCAGTGGGTTTGCAGCATCGTCGCTGTGTCCGTACTCTTTCTCAATGCTCACAGCTTTGTATGTACTACAGCTTTTGTATATGGGGGATGCCTTTGCTTGTCAGGCCAGCCGTCCGCTTCGTTTCAAAAAGTGGGTCGCGGTGCTAGCGATTCATTGCAGCACAAAGCGGCGGGCATGGTTGCCGCGGCTCCGTTTTGTACTGGCCCGGCACAACTGACGGGCCCCCGTCATATGGCCCGGCGGGCGGTTCGGGGGCGCCTATCAAAGACGGGCCGCGTCGCCGTTAACTTTTGGGGGGCTTTTGCCTTGGGAATCCGGGCCACATTCCTCCCGGCGGCCGGCTTCGGTGCGTGTTTGTACACCTGCCTGACGGCGTGGCCGCAAATTGTATAGCTTAGGATGCGCCTGGTGTAGCTCTAGGGGTCTTAGGTTTTCTTGGGCGCCTGGCTGGGGAGTAAGTGAGATTGATGAACGAGGCACGCCGCTGGGAACGAAGTGCAGCAGAGGGGCGCAACCAGTTGCGAACGCTGACGCATTTTGATGCTGCGCGGCGCCTCGTCGGCTGGGTGTTACTGCGCAACACGCCAAGCCACCAGCAAGCGCCACGGCTTGGGGGGCGCCCGCCGTGGTGAGGGTGATAGACGTGCCTGAGCTACCAAACCTGACGCACGACGCGGACGCGGCTGCGATGCCAAAAGCTGCGAGCGCTTTGCAGCTGTTGCGCGATGTTCTGGCACTTCGATCGAATCAGCGGGGAGAGACGTGAAGAAGGGGCACGGCGAGGCAGAGGGGTGCCGCATAGTTTGGAGAAGAAGCGGATAGCAGAAGAGCGGGGGCCCTCTACTGCTGCGGGCCTTGAAGGGCAATCCAGCGGCTGCCTGGAATATTGCGGCCGCGCTGCGGCGTGGGGGTTCTCTCCGCTGACAGTTTTGGCGCTCTCTTGGTGCCATGGGGTGGGCCGGTCTTCCAGCTTGGGGCTGGGCAGTCGTTTCATCTCGGGCAGCTGGTGAAGGTCGCAGCGTGTCGCTTACGCGCCTGATCAGAGCAGGCGCGACACCACAGAGGCCGAACGAAATGGCGCAAGCATCCGCAAAGCGTCACCGCAAAGCCATAGAGGAAGAGGACAGCCGCAACGCTAGGACAATGCGCAGCAGTGGCCTGCCTGAAAGCGCAGCCTATCGAAAGAGGCGCGCCGCCCGAGGTTCGGCGGGCCAGTTGTAACGCCCTCGAAGTCGACTATGATACAGCGTAGAGGTGTGGGGCCTTTTGCAGGGTTAGGGTTGCGCGCGCGCGGTTTTCGTCGCTGGTGTTCTATGTGTCTGCTAGCTTGGTGGGGATGGTGACGAAGGAAGGAAGAGGAGACGCCGAGCCAGGTGCGGACTGTCATGGCTGCACTGCTTGCAGGGGGGGCGCTGCGGTGGGCGCGTGTGTGTCATGAGTGAGCTCCTGGACGGTAGTGCCCTACGAGATTGGCGGGGATGCTGGCGCCATCGCCTCCCTTCCACGCGGCCCGGTCGCTCGGTGCTGATTGTGTTACGGCTGCACTGAGGGCGAGGGGACTCACTCTGCCGCGTGGTAAAAACTCGAACGAAAGGAGCGCTCTGCAGGCGTGGGCCTTGCTTCTGCCAGTGCCAGCCTGGGACGCACACGCTGCGTGCCAGCTAAGAAAGAGGCAGGCAAGCCAAAGCGCAAGAGGGTGCAGACAGCAGGCGCTACGGATGAGGAGGCCAGAAGTGGGCCGCGTGGGTTTCTTTGTTTGTCTCCTGCTCCTGCTATTGTTCGCCTTCTTTGTTTGTTGGTGCTGCGTGGGGGGATGCAGCTTGCTTGTTGGCGGCTGTGGTGCAAAGCAACGAACAGAGGAGAGTGAACGTGTGCACTTCTGTTCTGCGCGTGGGCTTTTCATTTTTATCGGCTTGTTGCTCTTTGTCATTGTCTTCAATGTCATGTGGAGCACCACCACCAGAGCGCCGGCCTACTTCAGGCGCGTGTGGATCGGCACGCGGTAACAAACTAGGTAGCAGGGGTTGTAAATAAGTCGTGAGCATTGCGGCTAGTATTATTTCCATCGTGCCGACTCACTGGCATTTTTTTGTTGCTTGCGCACACTTGCTTTCAGGACCATCATACGTCCTTTTTGCGAAACGAATCAGAATAGAAACAGATCGCATGCATGGAGACGGATAGCTTTAGCTCCTTGCGCTTACTCTTCCACCAGCGTGCTCCACCGTTCCGTTGGTTCAAGAAGATATATTATACGACGTTCGTGCTACTAACTACAAGCTACACTTGATTATACCCATCTCCCTCGAACGACTGTCACGCAGACAATTCTGTATACCGCTTCCGTCTTGGTCCGCGTTGCTGCTTTCGGGCGAGCCGAGATGGTTCTCACAACTTGGTTTCTTGTAGTGCTTGCGGATCAAGTGCGAAACATCATAGTTCAAAGTCTGGTCTGGTATTGCCTCATTCGCCGGTTTGGACAGGTATAATAACTTGTTCCTTATGGCGTAGCCGTAGGCATTTCATTCTCTGACTGCGTGCTTTGTGAGGAAAAGGATTAGGTTGCTGCTTACAATTTATGTTGTCGGTCATCAGACGCGGAGAAGACCAATAGCTAACAAGCACCCTGCTGTTGAGCATCTTCAACATACTTACTTAGACACAAACTGACTGGGCTTCCCTCAACCTTGCACCTCCAACAGGTTCCCGTAATGGATGAAGAGGAGTACTTTGCTGAGCACTTTGCTGACGGTGATGTAGAGGACACGATTGGAGCCATGCAAGTTATCCAAGGGGTGGCAAATTCCTGTCTGGAATGGAGGCGCTTTGATCTACTGATTTACTCAATCTTATGACCATGTCGATTGCACGGCTGCGACTTAGTGATATCGCTTCTTAGCGGTGAGCAAGTACTAGTACTACTAAGTCGAGTTGCATCAGGATCTGCTCATGACTTAGATAGAGTTCTTCTTGGACTGGTCAAGACGCTGACTTCATAATCATCATTGGATCAAGTATGACACATTAATCTTCACCCTGCTCTCCCTCGTCACCATCTACTTCTTCATATCGTCTTGGGCTCTACGCAATTTTTTTGCTGACATTGATAGCAGTTCAGGACTACCTCACGGCGCAACAACAGGCCGTCTTCGAGGATGTAGACACGGCGTTCTTGGCACTCTTCGCTTTGGAGATCCTTATCCGTGTAACAGCAACGGGCATGATCTTTATGCTGATAGATACTATAGAAGAGATATTTGTTTGAATCCCTTGAAAAAGACTTGAGCTTAAACTCAAGAAGTGGATTAATGACTTACTAATGAAAGCGGCTACAATCTAAGCAATTCATCACTCTTCTTATTTGAATCCCTTAAATCCGGCAGACTTCCTTAGAAGAAATAATTGGCCGTCTGCTAAATCACCGTCAGCAAGATGCTTATAATTTCAATTTGATTGTACAAGAAGGCTGATACAGTATAAATAAAGTACTAGTCACTGTGGGAAAATGCAGATCACCGCTAACTGACTCTACACCCCATTCTTCCCGAAGCTCTTCATGCGCCACACCCCATCCCGAAGAGCTTCATCTCTAAAATCAACTTTTACGACCTTTGGAACGTCTTCGATTTCGCGATTGTCCTGATAAGTTGGGTGTTTGCGCTTCAGCGCTACGCGAATCCCGAGGAAGCGACGTCGAGCACCACCTTGGCGCTACTGCGTCTACTGCGCTTGCTGCGACTCGTAAACGGTACTAAGTACTTCTTTCCTGTAGTCATGAGTACTTACTTGTTTTCCGTGAAGAAGTAGAGAAATCTACATGTCGAAGTTTTAGTTTGTCTCTGTCTCCTTACTTTCCATGAGCATGTGTGACCATCATGCATCAGCTTCAAGAAGAAGATTTCCACCACGACAGGTTTACGGAAACTGACATCAACTAAGCGGAGTCGCGTGTCTGGACAGAGTGGACTCAATTTTTCTTCCCCGGTAGAACGGGTCCTCGAAATTTTGAAGGAGGTGAAAACCCTCAAAATTGTGACGAAGGGCCTACAAGAAGAAATTACATGGGCAATGGACATCGTATCGAGTAATAATTATGCAGAGAAGATGTTGTAAACCAGCACAGTGTCCAGCATATTCTCAACTGCATACTTCTCACACCACTATGTATGTAATACCATGTAACCGCCCTGGCACCATGAAGATGATGCACCATGTACGTCAAGAATGTCTTATCCTTGTTTCTAACTCGCATTGTATTCGATTTCTGTGGATACGAGTGACAAATCCGGTGCAAAAGGGAGTGAATCACTTTTAGAACAGGAGCTTTCAGACTGGGTCCGCCTCGTCTCCGACAACCAAGGAACGCATTCAGGACCCAGCTGGCAGGAGAACGAATTGGAACGTTTTCTGGTTTTAAGGCGATGATGAAGATCGATGCTTCAGCTTCTTATTCTTTCATTTCAGCAACAGCACCAGCAGCCTATCTTCAATTGTCTGAAAGAATGTATCTTGTTTGCACGAGAAGTTGAATTCCCTTTGATCAGTAGAATCTTGTTTCGTCAAACTATATATGTAGTAGTCTTCTCTACTACCCTTGGAGTGGGTACATTCAACATTCACTCACTCATTCATACATACCGTAGGAAAAGTTGAAATTCATCATTCCGACAGCTGCATCAGCACCGGCTTTAATGAAAGGGCAAACGAAGAAGCGCGAGCACCAAGAAAACTTGGAGCAAGCAAGACGTCGGTTGCTTTTGTTTATTGAGCAAGATGTGGTCAAGAGGATGCCATCAGACGGCTCGTTGCGATGCGAAACACGAGAAGAACTAGCCATGAACGAAATGGACTACAGTGTCTATCTCAGTGCACGGGTGCAGAGCCATGTGCTGGCTATGCTTGAGGAGGGACTACGTACTTCTCTTTTTCTTGATTTCGCGCCATTGCACTTTTTGAAATCACGCTTACCGTAATTGTAGTTTGCTCGTCGTCTTGCACAGCAGCTGTTCTATCTCGTGCTGCCAAGGTTTTTTGGTCCAATAAATCCACTCTGATTTATTTTTGAGTTTGTGAAAATAGAATGTTGAAAAAACGCATTCATCAGATATCTGGGATTTCAACATTTACTCCTTCGCACTCGCTGTGGGACCTGATGACGTGCTTCCCTTGATTTTAAGGATACTAGTAGTAGGCCGCTAAAGGTGTTTCTGATGCGGTTTGTTCTGCCTCTCTCCTAAGGGACGAGAAAAGCATGAAATTAGAAACAGACGGGAAACATGAACACCAAAACCCTGCCTCTAATGAGCTTTGCGGAGACTTTTTTGTTCCATGAGCTGACCGCGACCTTTGAAATGACTCTGGATCCGGTGATCGAATACGCGCGGGCCCTAACGAAAGGATACGTCGAATCGAATCCATACCACAACAGTCTCCATGCCGCAGATGTTCTCCAGGGCTTCCACGTGCTGCTTACCTGGTTTCTGAAGTCGAAGAACACGGGGGCTGTATTTTGACTTGGAAAATTGTCAAGAAACATGTAAGCAAGCATCTAGTAAATTTAGTAAACCACGGTTGTAACTACGGTGTGGATTAATCTTCATTCTTCTCTGTATCTAGTATGATGGACCTGTTTACCTGTTCTTTATCCTTTTCTTCTCTGCATCCTCATAACGGGCGTTGTACAGAAATTCGTTTGATCATGCCTGTAGAAGTCTCAGTGTTGTGTTGTCCTCCTCGTTTTAAGAAAGTCGTAGCACCAGTACCACAGCAGATTGCTGCTTCGTTCGTTAACTAGTTAACGGATTAATGAATTGATGGTCTAAAAAAGAAGCACTAGTACCACATGGCATTTCATCTTCGTTCTACAACAGATTGCTGCGCATGACGTGCTGGCTGGGCTGCTCGCGGCGGCCATTCACGACTACGAGCATCCTGGTGTATCGAATGCGTTTTTGGTTAGAACGCGGCACCCGATTGCTCTTCGGTATAACGACTCTGCGGTACTGGAGAATCATCACGTATCAGCTGCTTTCCATCTCATGCTAGATCTAAGTACCAAGATTAAGGGTTGGTTTCGAATTATAATTAATACATTCCTTAGAAAGTCCTAGGTTCATCTTATTACTAATACATCCCTTTTTACTTCCATCCTTGGGGGACCTTTTCCTAGTAGAAAAGAAGCCAGGTGGGATCATGTTCTGAGGAATGTAATCCCGTAGCCTCTAACAAGAACAACAATTCGAACGTTGGTACTGGGGCAAGTGCAGCTTCAACTACATTTGAAGGTGCTGCTGCAACTGGTGGGCCTACAACAACGGCAACACCCGATAGAGGAACAGAGGGGCAGCTTGAAGGTGCCAGCACGGCTGCAAGTCAGCAGGGAGGCGAGGTGCGGGCACGGGCGTCAACAAACCAAGCTAGTATTAAGGCATGATCCCCTTGCTCCTTTATTAATCGTAATCCATCTCCAGAAGCTAGCATCTACTTAAGACTGTTCCATAAGGGGAAAGGGGCTTCATCAAGATGAATCTCAAGTAGATCCCGGATTAGGGTGAGCTCAATTCAAGAGATGGATTGCTTTGCGGTGAGCTGAGCTCTAATACGGCTGGAAACTCCGCGGGCACTGCAGATCTGTTAGGCAGTCTGAGTGAAGGCCAATACCAACAGGTGAGGCGGATGTGTATCGACATGGTATTGGCGACGGACATTAAGGCCTCCCCCAATCCATCTGTACTATAGCTATCCCTCAGCCGTATGTCTCCCATCATTAGCGTAGGGGAGATTATATTGGCGCATTATATTCTTGAGGGATTTCAATAGGGGTGAACTGTGGTGGAAAGGTCTAAGGAAAGCAGCAGTCATTTTGCGGAACTGAGTCTCTTCAAAACGAAAATCAATACTAGCCGCAACGGCTCATTCCCTGACAGCAAACAGTATGAGGACAAGCAAATCTTGATGAACATCTTGCTGCACTTATGACAGGAAAGAGCGTACTTTTTATATATACTCAAGAAAAAAGCAAGGCAGAATAACTTAAGCACGTATGTTGAAACAACTGCCTCACTTCTTAAGCATCAGTACACTTTTTCCTTTCATAGCACGCAGCAGACATCTCGAATGCGTGTCGACCAGGAGAAGTCTACGTCCGTCATGTCCAACGCACCATGGAAGAATTTTTTCGGCAAGGTGATATCGAACGGGACAAGAACATGCCAGTATCCATGTTTTTTGATCGGGAGACGACCAGCACCCCAAAATGTCAACAGGCCTTCATCGATGTCGTAGTGCTGCCGCTTTTCACGTTATGAAAATTTAGAGTATCAGACTTCACCTGAACCTGTGCACACAACCATAGAACTGAGCACTCACCGGAGGCGTTGCACAGGGCTCCGGCCTGCCTTCGAAGGTGAGACCTCTGGGGCTGACAGGACCATGACAGCGCCGGCGCTTAATTAGTAGTAGATAAGTTCTTGCCTGACCTTTCTTTTTTCGGTTTTTGTTTTTTCTAGTTAGATATGCTCCACCAAGAGTATCAGACTTCACCATCTTGAAGTAGAAGCACTTTCTTCCATCCTCCCTGCTGATAAGTAGTCGAAGATTGTCTTGGTGTCCATGTAGTTCTTTGTCTTTATTCAGGAGGTTCAGTTCGTTCTATTTTGCAGTATTTCTTCTACAGCTTTCAGCTAATACACGTTCTCGGCAACTACTTGCCGGAGGTTAGCGGGCATTGCTTGGAGAACCTGTGGGCGAATCGAGCGCATGTACAGAGTCAGGATCCTGAAGAGGGCAGGAGCAGAAAGACCGAGAATTAAGACTTCCGGAAATCCATCCATCGTGGTCCAAGATGATTTTCCAGATGGATTCCCGGAAGGTCTAAGAAAAGTTTTTCCTCGCTAGCTCTGGTGGAAAAACAGGTCTACGCCATAACCTCCTGAATGCTCTACGGGTGCGAATGAACGGCGTTATGCCACCGCCTGTAGTCAGCGTATTGAAAAGCTTAAGCCATGGGAAAACGGGAACCCGCATTGCCGGATGCTATCACAGTACGGGAAAGGTGACGCGTCGCTGGTTGGGAGTGCTGTCGGCAAGACTGAAAGCTTGCTTCGCACCCTTGTTACGGAAAGTGTTTGGTAACCGAATGGCATCACAAGACGCAGACGACGAAGCGGGAATTCCACTAGGGGATGCTCCGGTAGCACCGGCTGGCGTAACCTGAAGGCGTACTTATAAAGACTCGATAATATTTTCTCCAGTTTTTTCGGATTCTTGAATTGAAGAAGCGAAAGCATAGCTTTTCTTGTTTTTGTTGAATTATGATTCTCGGCGTCAGGGGGACATCGACCTCATCGTCTTTTTGATGATTTCTTTTTGTGACCATTATGCGGCTCATCATCGATTTACTTGCATAATTTTCTTGAAGAACAAGTCCAAGTCAATCATTACAACAATTTTTATTTCTCAAGTGTATTTTTTGAACAGTAACGCAGTAGTTATATACAGCTTACTTATGGAATTTTCTCAGCGTGTGAGGACAAAATCCTAGTTAATAGAAGCTAGTAGCTTTTGTTTTGCGAGAACGAACCTGCCAAAGCAAAGCCAAAAAACAAAAAATCTATAGAATATGCTGCAATTTTTGCAAACCACAAACTACCAAGTACAGTGGCTGGGAGTACTAGCAGTAATTACACGTGATAGGAGACACATACACGAAAGTAGGCTTGTATCTATTTTGATCTGAAGGTGTTTGTAGTTCCTACTTGTCACACCGGATGCCTTTCCGTGTTCAAGACAATCTTGATCGCGGCCTGCTTGATCGCAAAGATGGTCCTCTGGAACGATCCCTCAGCAAGAGAATCTTTGCGACGATCTCGACCACCCCCTGTAGTTTCCTTATGTCGCTATGTTGTTTCATACGCTTGTTTTTAGTATGATGCCCGAGCCAGTAGATTGACTCAAAAGTGGTAAAAATCTGCAAGAAACGTAAGACAAAATGGCGCCACCACGTCGGCGCCGCATGAGAACACTACCCGTAGTTGTTCGACGCGCTTTATCGTGGTTCATCCTCGTCCGCTTCAGCAGTGTGGCCGTCTATGAGCCTGTTCTTTCCAGGACAACAGCAAGCGGAGACCATGGCTACACCGAACGACTCAATGCCATACTTGAACGGCTGCGCACAGACATGGCTAGACCATTGCTCAATCCCGACGAACGATTTCAAGCTCCGGACGAGTTCCCTCACATCTATCTGGACGAAGAAAGTCAAGTCCTAAGGCGAAAAAATGAGACCGGCATTCACAGGTCGCCTGAAGAATTTATCTCTGTAAATGCAGACACAACTAGTACAACTGGTCCGGGAGGTGGGGTTTTTAATCTCGCGGGCGGTGACCCCGGTCGGGAGGAACAAGGCGCTCGAAAAAATGCACCTGAGTCAGTCCCTTTCGCACTTCCCTTGTGGTACTTGCGGTTGCGGTATATGGATGCCTCGGTCTCTCATCTTTACATGGGTTTTGATGCTGCTTTGCGGGCGCGGAGGGAGGTGGAAGGCATCTATGCGGAAATTTTGAAAAAGGCGGAAAAGCCGTTGGGCCATGCAATCGATTTGGGGAGGAGTGTATTACGGAATAAAGATTACAAAAATATTTTTCAGGTCGTTATTTCAGACAATTACACTATGCTGACGAGGTCAAGCAAGGAATCCGAGCTACTACAGCATCATCATGCTTGATTAACAACAGCCGTTTTACTGAAGTAAACAACTATAGCTACGTAGTACCTGCCCTAAATCGTGTAGCTCCTTCGCAGCTATTCCTGCAGTCACTTTCCGATCCTCGGTGTCCCGGAGACAGTTTCGCTTTGCGGGTACGATTACCGGAGCATCTACGTGTCCGGTTGCGCAGTACAGGTACTAGTGCATCGGCGAATGCAGAAGATCAGTATAATGCCGACAAGAAAAGAGTACATGGAGACGATCAGAGCGATCAAGATTCTTTTGTATGATGCCACTCATTGAGCACGAAGATACGGGAGTCTCGTTGCACCTAAATATGAAGGGCCCAAAGATGAAGGGGAACGACATTCCCCTATCGGCATTCTGAATGAGTGGACGCATTCATCTTTCTGGATATGCCTCCACAAACGGCACGAGGTTCCCGAGCAGCAGCTGAAGACGCAGGGTTTCACAAAAGACTGCAACAATTTGCCTGCGCTTGCGACGTGTATGAAAGAATCTCAATCTTCTGATTTTCAGCTAGAAGTAAGTTGTGCATGTAAATGCAGTTTGTTTTTAGTTTTACAGCTCTGAGTCTGAACCGAGAATGGCGAATTCGCAAGATAAATTAATACATTTTAGTGTGATCTATCATCAAAGATTGGCAAGAAAACTTTCAGATCGTCGCATAGTACATCAACATAGGAAAGTGCTGAAGTAAATTTCCCTTTATCCCCGGGCCTGCTCATTCACTCTACGTCTCCCGAGGGTGCCGCTGGAGGTCAAAAATGGTCGGTTTTCCTGGATGTTGGCGCGAACGTTGGCTACTGTGCCTTGCTGATGGCCCGCCTTGGTTTTTTGGTCATGGCGTTCGAGCCTCTGCGGGAATCGTTTGAATTGATCAAGGCGTCGGTGTCTCTAAACCCAGGCTTCGATCGGCGGATGATGATTTTCAACGCGGCTGTAGGCAGTAAATCGGGTAGCTTCACAAATATCGTCACAGGACGCATCGGAAACCGTGGAAATACGAGAATTTTACACACGACCACGACAACCGTCTTGTTTGATATTGCCGAAGATCATCCGCCTGCACGACAAGCACAGGTAGAAGACCTTCTAGATGCCAGCGGCAAGGATATAGTGCCAGACCCTGAAAAAGAAAAGTCTTCGAACAAATCAACAAATTCGAAATCCTTTTTCAATGTATCACGCGTAACCAGCGGAGTGCAAGAACAATCCGGTGGTGTCGTTTTCTTCTATGATGACGAGGCTGAAGCAGAACATGAACGAGAACGGGTAGATCGTGATGAAAATGGGCATCAACAACAACAAGGACAAAATTCAACATCCTCCCAACCATCAACAACTCTACTGCGTCAACCCCTTGCGATTCCGGAGAATACGGTACCAGAATTTGCCTTGTCGGATATTGTGGACTTGGCGGGAGCTGTGGCAGCAAACATCGGTCTCGTGAAAATCGACAGTGAAGGCAGCGAGTGGGACGTGCTACGTGGACTGGACTCCCGGAAGCATGTGTGCGCAGGACGCTTTCCAAGACTGAAAGTAGAACTTTTTATGAAAAGTCACTGATGTAGCTGTAGGAATCTAGAGCTAGATACTAGAGGAAATCGAGGCCATCGCCTGCTCGGCAACCTTGATCATGGTTATTGTGGCTAACATGCGTAAGCGTACAGTATAAATTGAACAAAGTTTTTTCAGGATCATGTGTTGCTCAAGAATTATATTAAATATTTATATGATTGTCATCATTAACGTTCGTCGTCGTTCTACTTCTACTTGTCTCTCTTCATTCCTGGTCCGCGGCTTCTTGCGGCGAAGAACGGCGCTCAGCTTTGGCAGCTTCTTGCGTGGTTGGATCGACATGGATACCTCATGGTCGAAGAGGAGACTGGCGTACTGGTTTCGCCAGATGACATTTTCCTGTACCATGAGAGATTTCGTCACAAACAGCAGCAAGACATAGTGGCAATCTGGCGTGAGTTTGCCGCGACAGGCAGCCATACGAACAAAATTGATAGGGGAGAACACGAATTCGAAAGCAGTAGCACGACCAGAAATTTTTTCTCAGGCCCATCCGGAGGTGCACCAAGTTCTCTGGATGTTTTGGAAACTTCCGCTCGTCCTGGTGTTTGTACGTTTTCCCTCTTGGCAACATCAAGTCTCAACACTGCTCCTGCAGGTGATGACGGTGGTAGCGGTGGTGTGGGTAGAGCAGGAGAGAATGACCGACGTCGAGGTCCAAAATTTGGCTCTTGGCCGACATTCACCGTATTTCGAAATCATGAGGCTTCTAGAACAGGTCGACAAGATCATGAGGCTAGTTTTGTGGAGGCACCAGAAGAATTGTTTTTGCTTTTTGATGACAAGAAAGACGCGAACAATGTACTAGTACATCAGACCTACGATTACGAAGCACGACTTGCGGAAGGAGGTCTGGTGCCAGGACGATCCATCGAGTACGACCTTGATGTGGACACGGCAGATGCAGAGCGCATTTCTCGAGTTAGTTTTCAGTTACAATTTTTGAAATGGTTACGAGGACCGACAATGGATTTCGTAGAACAAATCACTGCATCAAAGTCTTCGGACGAGGAAAACGTAACCGACTTGTTGGTGATGGGCATGGGCGAGGACAAAGACGACGTAGAAACCTTGACTTTGACGGCTTCGTCTAGTACTACGTCTGGAATCACAGGTCGCATTCGCAGGTACATTGGAACCTCGAGAGGTCGGAACATTATGCTGAGGCGTTTGATTGGCGACAAGAAGAATGTCAATAATCATGATGGGGATGCTGGTGGTTCGCATGATGAGGACCATGAAGAGCCCGCCAAACCCGTAGTCGAAGCAGGACAATTCCATATATCTCGAGCCATCAGTGTGATAGTGGACGCGAAAACTGGGGTTCCTTCAATTTTGCGTGACGAGCCACAGGAGGACAGAGGAGGGCAAGGAGGTACCCCTAGGACTTTGTGATGTTAAGAAGTGAATCTCCGCTTCCCATTGATTTGTTTGAGCTCATCCATAACGATCTTTCGGGGGCGCTCACAGATAATCCGGACAAGGATTTACTCTGGTGCTGTGCTGTCGCGACAAATTTTGGCTTCGCAACCAAAACGAGGCCAAAACGCAAGCCGGGAGATCACCTCAAGGGCTTCCGCCGTTATTTTCGTGGTGTTATCGGTGCCGGCCGCGTCTGGGAGATCAAGGCGAAGCTACTCGGGGTCGGGGGCTCCATCAGCGTACTGAACACAAAGGAGCCCCAGGCATCCGCTGAGCGTGATCGCTTGGACGGGGTACAGGATGCGGCGGATGCTCTCCGCGAAGAGCTAGAGCTGGAGCGCGGGCACTCGCGTGCCGTGTTTGAGGAGTGGCAGGCCACTCAGAACCGACCTGGTCAGAAACTGCCGCAACTTGATCACAGCGCTGAAGAAGGCTCTCGGGCTGAGTGGTGCAAGCAAGCCTGTCGCAATGGTGAGCCAGAGGGCCCGGCTGATGAAGACGAGCGCGGGCGCCTTCCTCGTTCAACGCGGTGGGAGAAATTGGGGGCAGCCCCTGGCGATATCGAGGCGGGCTAGGTGCTAAGTATACGAGTCGGGCTTGGGCTTATCGATATTGGTAGGCTGGCAAAGAAAGGGGCGCGCGCGCGCGTCAATGATCTCGATGGCCATGGTGGACGGCTGACGCTGGCGGGGGGTCGGTGCGGTGTCTTGCTCAGCACCCGAAGAGTGGGAGGGCGTTGTAACGGGCCAAGCGATTGACGGAGCTCCGCACGGAGATCATTCATGGACCCCAGGCGGCAGCTTCTCTGAGCAGAGCTAACATGCGAAAAGGGTCAGCCTGCCCGTGAGCGTCTCCGCCTGGGTTATGGCCTGAATGCTGCGAAGCGTGCTCCGGAGGCGCTCGCAAATGATATGATGGCGCTGGCTCTTCGAGTTATGTCGCGGAAGGTCTTTAGTATTGAGATTGAGAAGGCTGCCTTGGTGCCTGTCTCAAAGCTGGCAAGCGTCGAGTGATGTAAGTAGTCGAAGAGATAGGCTGAGGCTGAGGCCCTCTCTGCGTGGTGGAGTTTTTATGGCTGCGTTCGGTTGTCGGCTGGCGCGGGCTGCTAGGGACATAATGCGGGGGGAGGCGGCCACGCAAGGTGTGCTTGGTTGGCCGTCTCTGACCTCCTCGCGTCTCTGTGTTATATATTTTCTGGCTTTTTGTTTTTCTTGAGTGGGTCCCTTAATGTTTTTCCGTGATCCCGCCTTTCCCTTTGATCGATCCTTCCTCTGACAAGAGTAGTACGATGGAAGCTCATGCATCTGACTGATGCGTAGATGTAGAGGTAGAGCTGGAGTTTTTTCGTTGCTCTTTCTGCTTCCAAGCTTATTTTTTTTGAGCTTGTCGGCCATCGGATCGCGCAGCAGCCAGTGCCAAGACCGTTTATTTTATATATATCTTTTCAAGATGCTTAGAAGTACAAGAACTACAAGAAGCTGCAGTATTTGTGATGCGCTAACCTCATACATCGACAACTCATTAGACATAATCTGGTTTCCTAAAAAATCCCTCCATGATCAGATCTACGACCAAACGCTGCCCTGGTGAGGAGTACGCTAACAGATTCTGCTTTGGGCCGTGAGTGTAGCGTCGTTTTATCAAAGAAGCGCCGTTTTTCTGAACTGACGGCTGGAGCTCGCTCGGAAGGCACGATTACACTTGAGATATGTGAAGACGCCGTATTGTCCGAGCAGGATGGTGAAGATGATGCGCTTGCGCAGCGCGACACTGCTTCTAACAGCAGCGACAAGACCAGGGACAACGCCTCTAGTCGTAGCAGATCGTCGCTTTATGCTTGTTCATCGAGGTCATTCTATGTAATATGTCGTGTGTAAGTGCATCTCGCATTCACGTGATTGAAAAACCTGGAAAGGAGGTTGGATTTTGCATTCTTTCGAAACAAGTAGAATCAATTGCTTTCTTGTAGTACTAGTTGTAGGAGGGTAGGAGGTAGTACTAGTAGTACTAGTACGCACGTTCATCAAACTTGTCTATGTATTCTGTCTAATTTTCATTCGGCCAGCATGGTCACACTCTTTTTCGGGAGCGTGTCTTCCGCTTATCGCTTGTTGGCGATATGAATGACAGTGAACGTAGAGCGGTTCTCGGGCGTCGCGAAATACGGATTGCAAGACTGAAGTCTTCTGCTCGGCATGGCGTAAAGGTGGAAGAACAAGATACCCTCAGCAGCAATTATCACGGCAATCCTGCTATGAGACTGACGAGACAAGATGAAGAAGATATTGAGGATCTTCAGTTTGCCGAAACAGCTGGCTTGGAATGTGTTGCAGCTCCTACAACCAGTAGTCCTGGGAAAAGCTTTGAAGAGACACATCACGATATTGATTTTGGACTTGCCTCCCTGATTTTGGAACTGCAAGACGAACAAAGCAACCATAATAGGAACGGCGTCGCCTTTGCGACTACGTGGTTGTACCTGAACCACTGTTTTCGACTGGTTGCTGCACGCCGCTTAGCATCCGGGACAAAGGGTGTTCGGAAGGAGGAAGTGAAGCTTGACCATGACAATGCTGTTGACAACGAGATCCTGCTTGTTCCTGTCAATGTGAGTGACGAAAATGAGTATTTGGTGGATATCTTGAAGCTCCTTCATTCATCGCACGGACCACAGCTTCAACAAGAAGAACAAGAACACTGGCTAGAAGAGCAACAAGATATAATATTACAGGCGTCTACTCCCGCCTCTCTTCGACAAGATAAGCAGGACGAACTTGATTCTGTTTCTATCGTAAACCCCGCTGAAGATCTTATGTTGGCTAGAGGCGTGCTTGCGGTGGATGAGACTGGCACTCTCCGAAGATTGCGGTCCTCCAGGAGGAGGCCTCCTCGCAGAAAAAAGAGTGGCAACGGAGGAGAAACATCCTCTGAAGATGATACAAGCCTCACCGAGCACAGTAAAGCCACCAATTATAGTACGAAAGCAGAATACCTCCAAGATGGTGCCCGAAGCACGACTCGCACAGGCAGAACGAGACTGCCGCTTTTGCCTACACGCTTTCGCTTCCCTAAAGTGCGCTCGTCGGGACTGCGGTTTGGCGCGATTGCTGATGGACGTCACAAGATGCGTAGCCGCCACCCTTTCAGGATGGAAAACTTAGTCGTATCTTTGCAGAGATACTGACGCTTGTTTGCTGATATTTCAAATTGTCGACAAGGATACATCATTTAAATTTGTGTGCGTCATTCTCATCTCCGAATGACATTGATGTTTCGATGAGACGAATTGCTGCTGATCGTTTCTTCACTACTCTTTTGGTTGTTGAAAGCTCCATTGAATGCTTGAAATTCATGGAAAGCGAAGTATCGGTCGTTTTTTTGACTATCTGTGTAGTTATGGAAAGCGGCGAAGTATCGCAATTACAGTATCTGAAAATTATACCAAAATTATAGCTGCAGAAGTCCCTCTATTAACCCTATTTCCTGGCTAAAAAAATGTATCCTCCATGAGCAGAAGAACATAGCACCACGAGCAGAAAAATCAACTCAAACACAGACATCAAGTACTAGATCATGTCGAGTTCCAAAGCACGGACGCTGCAGGTGATTTATCACTCAAGAACGGGATTAGCTGCGCAGATGTCTGCTGCAATTGCTAGTGGAGCGCGAGGAGCCACGCTCATATCCTCTGGAGAGAGTAGGTCGAGCATGTAGGACTTTATTATGATGTTCATGTTCTTCAGAAATTTCGATGTAATCCGACGCCCAACAAGATGAAATACTATGAGCCTCTTCTTCTTCAAGCAGCAGTTATTTTGTCGCGTCCTCTTAAATTTTTAAAAACGCGACTACCTCCTAGATGAACTATGACTAGCCTCATTTCTAAGTTTCTCCGTTGCATGTGCAGCGACTCCGTTGCGAGCGAGTCAGTTCGCAGATGCTCTGTGCTGCAGCAGGCTTCGTTTTCTGTGCTCCAGAAAATCTTGCAAGTCTATCTGGCGAAATGAAGTCGTTTTTTGATCGGACCTACTACGATATGATGCCGGACGAAGACGAAGTACACCAGGATGTTGTTCTTCAGCAATTAGTAAGGCTTTATAGAAGATACGATTCAATTTATTCCATTTTCAACGCGAATGATTCTCTTCTATTCGTCCCTTCTTGAGGCTTTGAAGAAATGAACCTAGTAGTAAGTAGAACTAAAAAATTGCTTTGACCTCATCTAAAGCAAGAGGGCGAGCCATTACTTGCGAGGAAACCCTATGGGGCTGCTATTGCCGCAGGATCCGATGGAAGCACTGCCGCGAGACAAATAGCGCGAATTGCACAAGGTTGGCGACTCTCGAAGGTCATGCCTGAGGATGCCGTGATCATTCGAAATCAACTGGCACAAACAAAACGAAACATTCTACTTATGAGAATAGCACTACTTATTCTAGGAATAGCACTACTGCAGGAATAGCACTACTGACTGGAAACTACGAGCATGTTGTCTTTCCTAAGCACTGCCGATGAAGAGAGACATCATAAAGTGCTGTGAATTATGTTAAGTGCTGAATAATGTTGAAGCTAATGCTAAGTATGTTCTGCTGCCCCTGCAAGATTCATACCAGTGTCGCCGAAGCCGCTGCTCACCACAGCCGACCGCGTAGCATGCGAAGACCTAGGCGCTTTAGTTGCCAGCAGAATTCTACTCACCGAGGAGGTAGACTGATTTGCATTCCAACCTGGAAGGAAAACGCTTGTTACTCCTGGTGACGGCTTCATATTTTCGTCGCTGCACGCAAACGCACTAGAAGAGCTGAAGCGATGTGTGGCAGAAAAATGATTGGTGAACATGGATTTGTTGATGCGCAAGATGATAAAGCTAATGAAGATTCATACAACGAACTCATCAAGAAAAAGTTAAACTGTTCCCTCCGCTTCAATGCTTATTTTTACCAACAACAGCTGCACCTGCAACTAGATTTTTGGAGATTCCTGTGTTCGACGCACGCCTGTTGCTGCTGGGTTCTAAGACGGGTAATGACATGAGGAAATGCACCGCGAAAATACACCATTGATAATCCGCGATGGCAATGGCGAAGATTTGATCTACTCAGGTTAGTCCTTCGTGTTGTCTTCCGCCTGTCTGCTGCTTGTGAAACGAACTACGCCCCGTGTGGTGGCCAGAAACTTTTTCTGAAATCTCCAAAAATCCAAATCAAGGAGTTGCGTTCGTTCCTTTCTTGAAGCATCAGATCCATCAAAAACAAGAACTCCAACTCATGAAAGACCGCGAGATGGCAGAGGCCACTTGAAAGAGTTTAGTCTTCCACTTGTCTGTTGCTTGTGAAACGCACTGCCCACCATTTATTTGTTACAACAAAAATTCAATGACGTGGCGGCTGCAGAAAAACTCGCGTCTGATCAGTTTCATTGGTCGAAGAGGTATTCATCTGAAGACATCGATGACCTGTTTAAGGCAACTGATGGTGAGCCGAATCTTCGAAACAAAGAAAGGATATTCAGACCGGCAAAGCACAAGACACACAAAAGAAAGCGAAGGACTACTAGAGCAAGGATATGCGTTGACGACGCGTTGGTAGTAGTTTTGTTCACACTGCTGGACATCGAAGAAGGTCGACTTGACGTACTCCTTCCGGGAATATCTCGGATAATAGAGCTAATGTTCTTCTCGACGTGTATTCTCTGCGCCTGCGAAAAAAGTGAAATCATGCTGATGGATCCGAAAGACGGCACGTTCATGACGGAAGAGCAGAAAGAACACATCAGGAATTTGGCATCACTCTTTAGTAGACCACCGATTAGACAGAAGAGACTTGTTCTTTATGGTTTTCCCTATAAAGAACCATTCGAGGCCACGTTGCTCGCGTACATCAAGACCAAAATATACAATGCAGAAAGGGTGATAGTAATGGTGCTGCGTACAAATAAAGGCGGAATCACTGTGCAATTCATGAACGAGATTGCCCGGTGGGTCACGGTCGCGAAGGTGATGCCACTCATGCCAATGGCCGTGTACGAATTGACTCAGGAGGTTGTCGCGTCGATAGAGGACGGCATCGCCGTCGCCGTGTTGCGTGCCTTTGGAGCAGATGAAAAAATAATAACAAAACTACAAGAACAACTTCAAATGTCGCCTCATGAACTTCTCTTTTCGGAAATTTTCCGATGGGTGGAGCCATCGATCCAGGCATCAAGATCCCTGAGGAGGCAAAGTCTGCGATTTTTTGCTGTTACAGGATCGAGGTACGAAATACAGCAAGCCATGAAGAAGGAGATGACAGCCGCGGAAAGATCATCAAAAAAAGAAGGTGTGTCACAGTTGATCGAAAACAGAAGACACGTTGTTCAGAATTTTCTAGATCAACCACCTCATTTGACGATGGAAGTTCCAGCAAAACTAGTGCGGGATAACGCCGATCTTCTGATTACATCATCTCGAAATATGAGTAAAATAATTAGTGACGAAGCAGTTAGTTTCTGCGTTTGGAACAAGACGAAATCCGACGTAGCCATTATCGCACAACTAAAAGGTAGCGCGGCACAGAAGTGGTGCCTACTAGTGTGGATAACCATCGACATGCCTCACGTTAGAACGTATAAAAGGCAGGTATGGTCAGAAGCTACGATAGCACAAGTCAGACTCCGTGCGGCAGTGTCGTACCTTGGTGATAAGCTGAGACGTGAAGGAAATTCAACGAGCAGCATAGCCGTATTCGGATTTGTCGATACTATCCCAGAACAAGCCATGATGGCGAAGAAATTCCACGCATCCGCTGCCAACAGGAGGATAGTAGTGACAGCTGGACAACCGTTCTACAACATAAAAATAGCTATGAATTCTCACGAAGGTACTAGTCAATGTATCAAGGTTAACGATGATCCCTGGCTATGGGACGATGAGCCGCGAGCTTTCCTTCGTCCTAGAACGGGTCCAGCTGCCGAATTTTTGAAGGAGCAGCTAATGGAAAGAAAACACGTTAAGACGACGAGAGCGACCATGAGACGCCTAATCAACGAAGCCATTGAGAAAGAGATGGCCGAAAGAAGAGTGGAAGAATAAGTAAGAAAGTTACAAGACTCAGGAAAAAACTCGAAAGTAAACAAACTGTTCAGGAAAGTATGAAAAATTGTGTAAAAGTAAAAGCTGAAGTAAGGACTTGATGCGTAACGTGAAGTTGAAAATTCAGGATGTAAATAATATGATGAGATGAAGGAAGGAAGAAAAACCAAGCCCACTCCAACTTAAACTAAGGATCCCTTATCTGAAGACCGAGCTTTCCTCTTTGAATCCTAAACCCCTTGAAACTGGTTAGAGAAAGAAGAAACTTAAAAAGTAACTTAACGAACGGAAACATGATAAGATGAAAGTCAAAAGCCCATAAAGGAGATGCGAGCAAGATGAGAAAAAGTGGAATGTTATGGTTTCTCATAAAAGGTAATAATCCATTTGCCAGGTGGTGGGGAAAGGGGGCAAATGGAGATGAAAGCCTGACTCACAGAAGTAAGTATTTCAAAGTTGCAAGTAAATCGATAACGGAACGCGAAATGGAAAAATAACAGTGGCAAAACAAGTGAATAGGAAGGAGAAAGCCTACATTTGCTAGGGATGAAGAGGGTTGATGCAAATGACAGGAACGAAGGCAAAGATCAAAACACAAATACCTCCGTATCGCCCTTAAAGCATTCTAGAAATGCCCAACCAATACCTCCGGATCATCTAGCAAGCTTTTTCTCGAATGTACTCGGTTTTTATAGATCTTGACACGCAGATGTAAGCTACAAAAAACCCTCTGAGAAAAGGAGACAAAAGCACAAAAAGACAGAAGAAAACGAGTAATGGACCCCACTTCAAACAGAGGTACGATGATGGGTCGACAATATGTCGCCTCGTTAGGCTTCTTTGGAGTTACTAGCGAGGTGGCGTCGGTGTCCAGAACTCAGAAACTAAAAAAAAAAGTGCTGTCTCGGTGGCTGCTGTACATGATACAGGAGTCCCCCTCAGTGTAGAGCACAATGAGAATAATATAAGCTGCTAGAAATAATAAGGTGATAGGCAAGTGTGTTTGGTGACGACCTATGACGATCATGTGAATGTCCGCTGAAGCATGATTTTTGTAAGTTATTACTCGCGCTCGTGACTGCCTTCGGGAATGAACAAGAATCATTCCTGATTGTGCGCGAAGAGCGGTTCCTCGTCGGCTTGGTCCTGAACTTGCTTAGTAACGCCGCGGCAGCGGGCATGATCCGTGGCTGCTCTTTGGTGATACTTGATAGTATATCGCTCGGTTTGCTTGCTCTTCTTAGAAGGTACAGGCAGACTGAAACAACTTCTCTTTCAATAAGTTACTTTGAAACACGAGAGGTTCCATGACATGACATGACATGACATTACAACAAAAAAAAAGAAAGCGGCGGGTTCGTAGCGAATAGAGTGATCGAGGGGCTAACTTGCCGCGCCTGCTGCCGGTTTGCGAACTGGATAAAGCTCAGGAGGTTCTTCCAATCTTCCCGGCATTACAAAAAAAAATTTTTCTGAAGTCTCCAGATCCAAATTTAAGGCATGTCGAGCGCCTTATTTCCACATGTAGTTCATCTTCATCATCAATATCTGTACAAGAACCAGTCATCTTCATGAGGACCCCCACCAAGAAATTTCTGCGAAAGTCGAGTTTAGTTTTTTTTTGTCCTGTGGTATCACTCAGCAAATCAGAAGCTCTGAAGAAAATGTAAATGGTAGCAAATGGTGGCCTTTTTTCTGCACGTACGACCATGATAATGCACCATAGTACGCATCATCATCATCATCATCATCTTCTTCATCAAGAAAGACAGCGACACAGGTGGTGTTGAAAAATTCTCAGAAGCGATAGAATAGCGGCGACAAAAACAATGAGATGAAGAAATGAAAAAAAAATAGGTATAGTCAGTGTGTAGAAAGTGTATGACTAGAAATAAGTAATTAGAAGAAGAAAGTGGTAGTGGTCTCGTCTTGCTTGTCCATGCATAGAAGTAGAGTTGTTGGTCCTTGACGTTTCATTGTTGTTTTGTTTGAAGTAGTCAGATTGATTTGAGCAAAACTAATACATAGAAGTGTGCGAGGACGGACAGCCACGAACTCCTGCCAGGATTGCATTATTCTTGAAAATTATGTGAAGAAGCGTACTGAAGAAGATCATTACTTGAACAATATTAGATGCTAGGAGACATGAAGATCATTACTTGAACAATATTAGATGGTAGGAGACATGAAGATCATTACTTGAATAATATTAGATGGTAGGAGACATGAAGATCATTACTTAAACAATTTTAGATGGTAGGACCTCCAGGGCAGAAGGACGAACACGCGGCGCCTAAAATAAACGGATCCTAATATAAACGTGGCCACTATAGTTCTTCTATAGACATTTGGGTTTAGATGATTCTTTTCAAATTTTTTTGTTTCTTAGATAGGCGTGCTCCACCGATCTGATAATATTAGATGGTAGGAGACATTAAAAAATATCAGACTGTATGGAGCCTTTTGGATGAAGAACTTACTAACGACCGCAAACATTGAGTGACGGACTACTACATGTACGGAGGTTTTTTTTTCACGTCAGTAACTAAGGGTTGTAGGCATCTTGCTTCTACAAAAAGGTCGTTCTCAGAAATTATAGAGTTTGGGTGAGGTTCGTCTTCATTGTTTTAAGTTGTCCTATAGGGTTACTGAGCTCTTTGCAGGTCTTTGGCTTGGGTATCCCTCTTTTCCTTCCCCTCTTTTTCTCTACTACCTTTCGTAGAAATACATCCTTACACACATCCTATCTCATTATTTGCTCGTGCCTCCATTCTCGTCCTCGTTAATCAACTCCTTATGATGTATCTCCATTGTGCTTCATAGTACTTAGTTTGACTAGTCTTACTAATTTTCTGTGCCTTATAGTGAAGTTTCTGATTAATGGTAGAGAAGAAATTTTATTTGTTAAGATCAAGAACTCCAATCCAAATGATTTTAGGATGATACTGAAGCGGAATCATCTGAACATGAACATCTGGCACACCCTATTTTCCTTTTTATCCTTGTCTCATTAACAAAGTGAAATCAGAAAAAGTCACACAAGTTCACATCTCCAAGTTTCCTGTAACAGTTAAAGTTTACTAAGTTACCTCGTGTAGAACAAAACTGTTTTTCAGATCAAGTACTTGCGAGGTGACAGACTAAGCTGTCGTGCTGTGGTACATCAACAGCAAGAGCATGTCTTTTAACATCTTATTTTTAAACTTGAGTAGTCATCTGAGTGTAGTGAGGAAGTGGTAATAAAGACCGAGACCTAGTTCTTTTTGAAACGGAGCAGGGAGCACGACGAGCAGTCTTGTTGTTATCATATACGGTGGAGTATGGTATATCAATCTTGATCTTGAATATCTTCTGTATGCTGGTAATAGTGAATCATTCGTATTCTTGGTTCCTGCAACAGTAGCTGGTGGTCGTGTATGCAGACTACTACTACTAGAAGCCACACTTCTTCAAGGACAAGCGCCCGCCCATTTTGGTGCGCTCCTGACGTTTAGTGAAAAACCTTGTATTTGTAATTCTTGTTGTACTATTAAGAACCGGTCGTGCTACTTGTAAGATTACTGTGTAAGAGCTCACTAGAGTCTTGTAGTTCTAACGGGTCGTGTGGTAGAAAGAGTAAGACACCTTTGAAGTTGCTACTTTTCATCGCGGTCACTCTTGGTCCTCATTGTCAAATCTGGTGCTGTCTGCAGAGTTCTTCTTGTCACATGTATGCACCTAGAGGACGTAGTTTGCCAGACCTCACGCGATCTCTAGGTAGATCTACTTCACACCTTCAAGAAGATCAACTGTGAGCGTGTCAGCACGCGTTGTAGCATGTAAAATTAGGACAAGGACGAGGGACTTATTAGGCAGGAGGGACTTATATATGATAATTTTCACAAGTTAGAAGTTTCGTATTCCGAATCAGTTCTAGTAGTTGCGTGTATCGTCCGTTTCACTTCATACATGAATGATTTTGGATCTAGAAACAGTACAACAAAGGTTGTAGCATTTATTTCAGATGAATCCAAGAGAGCGTCCTCGTAGAAGATCCTTTTCGCTCGTAGTTATAAAGAGGTACTACTAGTAGTACAACTTTTAGTTGTTCTTACAGATAGAGATACAGCACGACCAGCATCCCTACCTGTACTGTACCAAATAAACGACATCAACAAATCAGCTTCAGAAGTTTCTCCTTCTTGTCCTCGCTCCTCTCTCCTACACGGACCAAGTTGTGGCACACGCATGGCCTTGATGGAAAAGATCCATCCTCAACGAGCAACTTCATCTTCATTAGATTGTAGTACGAATTTCAATTTTCCGATTGATGGCGTCAAAGTACTTATCAATTTATGGATCAATAGAAGCAGCGAGGTCTTTAAAGAAAATAATTGTTCCAGTACAAGCGCGACAATCCCGACGAAGTATCAGAACTACTAGAAATAGCTGAGTAGAATCTCGAGCTGATACAAAGAGCTACACCATAAAAGACCCCGCAGAACAAGGATACTTCTGCTAGCTACAATTCCTAATACAGAAAGCAACAGTGAATATTTCTATAACAAATACTGACAAGACTTAGTAGTAGCGCTACCTACTGCTCCATTTGTCGCGGCACCAGTGTCAAAAGGTAGAGGGCGGGCACTTCTTCGACGGAGTGGCCACTCTAAATGATTTTCATTTTCCGCTCCTGCTGTCGTCTCGTCTTTGCGTGCAGTTGCCTTTTTGGGATTCAACGAAGCGGTGCTGCCTCGGCGGTGCCTTAAATGTGATTGGATCTTGTGTGCTTATATATAACAATATGAATCCTGCGTATGGTTAAGGTTTAGGTCCAGCGGCGCTCAACGCACTAAATAGAACAGCCGGCTAGTTTTTACCTCTAGAGATTTAGCCCTTCCAACAATATATATAACAATATGAGTCAAAAATAAGAAGACGAAACCAACCTAAACCCAGATCTTCATATTCTTGGTTTCGTCCCCCGATGTTGAAACTTTATTTATTCTAGCTCGATGTTGTTGTTGTGCTTTATCGTTTTTACGAGCGACCATAGCAGGTAAACACAATCAACGAGGGGGCATACCAATCAACGAGGGGGCATACCAACCGACGAGCATTTTTCGTGCTGAGTAAGATGCTAGAGAAGTAAAGTCCTCTGAGGATATTACTTCTTTGGCAGACGGATCATCTTCATCGCACTTTAACAAGTCTTGTCCTCGTGACGTCGAAATTGATGTAAGCGGACGACGCGTTTGTGGAGCAGCTAATTAGCTACAACAACGTCCACCTGGAGGTGCCCCTCTTGCGTTGCTGCAGATCGAGGATTTGACTCGGAGCACAAGAACTACAACAAGTTGTACAAGAAGCAGCATATGGCTCAAATTCAAAATACAACTCGAACGCGTGTAGCTGCTGGCTTTGACACGACAGTACTTACTATGCTCACTCTTCACGAACAAGACTACCAGATTGGTTGTCCTCCAACAGAGCAAATTGTCGAGCCACCTGCGAGCCATACTAGTAATATTCGGACTCGGACGAGTAGTTCCATGGAGGAAGCGGATCGAAGAAGTAGTACAGCTATCATCTGTAATATCAACCATGATCATCACGACAGCGCTACTGGAAGAGGCAGGAGTAGATATACTCAACATAGTAATTTAGAAGAAGATGAACCGCGATTCGGAAGAAGAACGAGAATGCCGCAGCCAAATCACGGCTCATCTTCTTACTACAACTACGGGGGGCCGACGTCTTCGGTGCCTGCAGGTGGGCACCAGCTCCAGCACATGAGTCAACATGTAGTTGTTGGGTCCTCCTCTTTAGGGACGAACGTTGAACCACAACCACTTTCTCCAACTACAGCTGCGGCGTCGCTTGGAACGCCGCGGCGGGAGCTAACACAAGATGAGTGGATGGCTTTGAGAACTGGTTTTCATCGCGGCAACGACCGCGTTCCACCTACAACTAAAGGAGCACGCCCACCAGCTCCTTCATCCGCTGTAGGAGGAGGAGGGCTTCTCCCTGAATCTAGCAATAGTCTTCCAGAAGGACCACCTGCTCACGGTCGCGGACCCCAACGCAGTGGTAGTCAGCATCGTCAACAACAACTACATTATTTAAGGCCCACTTATAAATATTCAACTATGTTGGTCATGGTCGTAAATCCTTGAAACTATCACAAAGATCCACAAAGATCAGAAGGATGAAGATCATCAAAATGACCAGGATCGCCAGGCGAACAAGGTACCCACCGGCACCACTTTCAACGCGTTGGCCTTAGTTGGCGCGGGTGTCGGCGGTTTCTCCCTTCTCTCTCTCGTTTGTCGTTTCAAGTCTCTCAACACAGTCAAGGACAAAGCAACACCGGAAAGATCTCAGAGACAGCCTACAGACCTGCACGCATATAGTTCCAAAGTCAACGATCAACAGGCGAAGGGCCTTCAACGTATTCAGATAGCAGAAATAGCGAATGTTCATCGCTGTAACCAGGTCCATAACGTTTTGTCAGTTCTGATCAGTTCAAAGAGCATATGGGTGACCGTGTGAATCAATGATGATAGCATAGGCGTTCCCATATGAAGCATATGGAAGCTTCCCCATGCGACATGATATCCCAATGAAGAAGCTGAGGCTTCCTTCCCTTGCGACCCCAATGAACATCCACAGGGATCAAAGCAGCCAGAGATCACTTGTCTCAGGCTGAAAGTGCAATATGTATCAAACTCAAGCGTTTCTCAATGAGAAACTAGACGCGGCTTAACAGTCTGCGTTCGAATGGTCCAGCACTGCTTTGGCCCTTGAGTCTGGCTCAACATAGAGTAGAAATTCATCTAGAGACAAAATGTCCTGCGAAGAAACTCGACCTGCCTCAAAACTACCCGAATGTAGTTGGCATGGCGGCAGCTCCTCATGGTATTCCTAACGGAGTTACCACCCGGGAGGACGCAGCCAAAATGTCGCAAGGCAGAGCCGAGACGCGGAACCGGTGGAGAATGGATTTTGCTCGCTGAATTTGGACGATGACGAGACTGCAGACCAAATAGCTATGGATAATATTGGGGGAGTAAAACTGATAGGACATAGTCTCTCAACTAGTTCCATAGCTGCAAGGGATGGAGTCAGTCTGGTTGATAGTTGTGCAAGCAAATATAATATCTTTCAAGACACAAAGACGACGCTAGTGATACAACTATGAGAACTTGTAGGATTACTGGTAGCGTTGGAAAAAGGACTTAGGTCGTATTATACTTCGGCTAGGTGAAGGAAACTGCTCGCAATTAGGATGGGAAACTCAGCCTCAAACAAAGTCACAGGTGGTTGTCTCGTGCATACGGACACCAGCCAGGCCATACCCACAAGAAGCCGCCCACGCCTGCAGCTTCCACACTTACATGAAAACTCACTCAAAGAAGAGACTGATAGTGGTTACATTCGTTCCACAGTAGAAGAAGGAGTCAGTAGATGCTATCTTACAAGACTCGAACGTCATAGAAGGTGTGAGCACTTTCATATAGATGGCCTCCAGGTAAATTGTCCTGAGTGCGATCTACAGAAAGGCCAACGCGCACCACATGCAAAGCCTAGGGATGCTTCGAATCGCGAACCCCTATCAGTTAGATCAAGGAGATGTGTATTAGTGATTATCCGTAATGTAATTAAGAAGGTGCGCGTCGACCGCTTAAGCTGAAAAGTGACTGCGTGGAGGAAATAGAAAGAAGTGACAAAAGGCACGCGCCAGGACTACTCCTTATCTCTTGGTGGCAAGGTAGTGCGGTTCCTCCGGAGGGATGGAGAACCTGTCCCGAGCAGTGACGACATGGCCAAAGTTGTTACGCAATCGCTGCGAGTCTCAGACAGTCCGGCTGTTCCTTATAGTCCGGAGTTGAATGAGACCTGCGGCCGTTTTATGCGGACTTTGTTCGGCAGTGTTCGCACAGTGCTGACTAAAGTTGACAAACGTCGCCGGAAGTTACTGCGTCGAGTACGCTGGTGACTGCTAGGACTGTTTACCGCATAACTACGCGGAATTGCCTCAAAATGATGGAAAGAGTCCAATTGAAATCTTGGAAGAAAGGACTGGTAGAAACTCGCCGAAGAGTTCAATCGACACGCTCCGTCGATTTGGTTGCCTAGTTCACTTTCGTGAACAACTTCAAGCCAACCCTCCTGAACCCAAGCTCTAGGCCAAATACCACCGTGGCGTCTTCCTTTGGATTCTGTCCGAAGTCGTCTGGTTGGTTGGTTGGAACTTTCGCCCATGGCGATCGTTGCAAGCTTGGACATCGATGGGCGGAATACTCTACCCGAGATGTAAAGTTCAGAGAGGGATTTGCAATAAAGAACACTGATTGGCTTTTGCCAGATAAAAGGGCATCCACATAGAGTCTGACGAACTGGAAAATCTGCTGAGTGGCGCGTCGTAGCTGGGCTCCCCCTTGCTTGGACAGTCAGAGCTGAGGCTGGACCATCAATCGGGGTTCTCTGGCACGGAGCACATTCCAGGTGGACCGACCGGAATTTCCGAAGAGATTACTGGACAAAGCAGAGGAATCCAACGCGGCTGACTCTCCTAAAGGTGCTTCACCTGAGGAGGGGAAAGCTGAGGCGAGGGATCGCGTGACATCTGCTACGCCTAGTCCGTCTAGGTTGAAAGCGCCCTCTCCAGCGCGTGTTGTGGCAGGCGAACGCCATACACACGGCGAGAAGCGTGGCCGACCAAAAGGAGCTAAGGACAAGGCAGGCAGCAGGGTACGAAGAACAAAGAAACAGCGAGAAGAACTGAGAAAAAGTATGGCGTTGCTCGCTAGTGCAGTTGGTGGCATGTGTGAACTCGACGAAGATGAGGAACTCGCCGAATCATATGCGACTTTGTCCGTTGCTCAAGCACTCAGGCCCCCGATGCCGATAAGTGGCAGGAGGTCACTGAAAAGAGCACGCGAGACGGCTAGCCTTTGAACGTGGAAAGCAGCTTCCGACGAGGAGGCTGCGACTGCGTGACAGGCTCGACCAATTGCCACAATTCTAACGATTAAAAGATGTGGAAGACACAAGGCTTGCGCTTGTGTCCTCGGTAATCTAGATCGATCAGGAGAGCTAAACACCTTTGCTCCCGTTGTTTCAAACGCCGCTAGTAGGTTGCTCCTGACTTCTGCTGCGTCAGAGCAGGACTATGCGACCCCGTTCGATTTAGATCCTGCGTTCCTCAGTGCTGAACTCGATCGCGATGTCTTCTGTCATCTCCCACCCATCTGGACAGAGAAGCATGGACGCGAGATCGTGAAGCTCGAGAAGGCCTTACACGGCTTGAAGGACGCACCACGAGCATGGTTCAAGAAATATCACGACATGCTAGCCACTCTTGGCTGGGAGCCGTGTGATTCTGCGCCAGGCTTATGGAGAAACCGAGTGCGACAGTACCTGGGAAGTTCCTCAAGATGTCAGTCTATGTTGATGACAATCTTGCGGCGGGTCTTGATCTCGATGAGCTCAAGACTGAAGAACTGCGACCCATCTTCTCGCGTGCCCCTGGCCGTGTGATTGATGTGGAGTCCGTTCTGACCCTTTGAGTCAAACGTGGCTAAGGTTCGACTTCTTAGGTGCCATCGTGTACTACTGTCGTGAAGCTCGAACATTTCGGCTCAACATGGAAGAGCACACTGATAGAATCGCAAAGAGATTTGGAATCCAAGTCGGGACCGGGAGTCCGGTTTACTCGCCCTATTTTGACGAGTCGGCTTTTCTTGAGGAGGGGATCAAGATAGTCGATGGGTATCCTTATCGTGAGGTAGTTGGTGCCTTGCTATGGGTAGCTGTGACCGCGCGCCCGGACATCTCTGTACCGGTGGCGGCGTTGGTTAGACATGTCAGCAAACCCACGCCAACGAGAATGGTTAAAGCAGCCAGAAAAGTGCTGAAGTATCTGGTGACAACGAGAGACCAAGAACTGGAATACTCACCAGAACAAGAAGAAGAATTCAATCGAATCTATTCAAAGTTACTACCTGAAGGCAGAGATAGGCCAGAGGTGAATATCTTTAGTGATGCAGTATTCGCCAACTGCGTGAAGAATATGAGAAACGCAAGTGGATCGATCATGTATTTCAAAGGCGCTTCAATCGCTTGGAGAAGTAATCGGCAAACTGTCTGTGCCTATTCTACGGCTGAGAGTGAATATGGTGCAGTTTCTGACACAGTTGCACTTAGTGAACTGCATGACTTTGCCGACTTCTATAGGCCTCTACCAACTCAGTTGGTGCACACACAGAAAGGCTTGTCTCCCTCTTTAGACAATGCTGCGCCTGCTCTGGATCGACAACCAATCCGAGACCACAACAGCTAAAGCAACTGACACACGCCCGAAGAGTCGCCATTATGCACTTCGCTACTTGCGTGCGCGTGATGCGGCGAGTAAGAGAGTTTTCTGTCCAACTAACTTAATAAAGGCTGATGGCTTAACTAACCTAGAACGTAGCTCGTCTCAACGTAGACTACTACTTCACCATATAGATAACCCGATAAACAAAGTCAACTATGACGATTTAACTTACAAAAAAAAAAAAGCGTAGCCATTTCGCCTAGTGGTCAAGTGTCTCAGTTCAGTTTCTCCGGATCTGAATGGCGCAGGGTTCGAATCCGACTGATGTCAGAACTCGACACGCCCGCCACTGGGAGGGCTGAGGAGCGGCATCCATGCTGCGAAGCCGCCGGGCAAGGCCTGGATACGAGGTAAGACACGGTGACCCAGAGGAAGGGCCCGGCCCGTCTTGTGCTTGCCTCGGAGAAGTGTTTGTGGCCAACTAGTTCAGCACTGGCTTATTCTGGTTTCTAGGTAAGCTTATCGTAGCCATAGACGAATAGTTAAGAGATATGACTTCCGTGGTAGTCCAGAGACTAGGGACTTCGACACGCAACGACTGAGGAGGGGCGTCGGTCATGGTCGTAAATCCTTGAAACTATCACAAAGATCCACAAAGATCAGAAGGATGAAGATCATCAAAATGACCAGGATCGCCAGGCGAACAAGGTACCCACCGGCACCACTTTCAACGCGTTGGCCTTAGTTGGCGCGGGTGTCGGCGGTTTCTCCCTTCTCCCTTCTCTCTCTCGTTTGTCGTTTCAAGTCTCTCAACACAGTCAAGGACAAAGCAACACCGGAAAGATCTCAGAGACAGCCTACAGACCTAAATGCATATAGTTCCAAAGTCAACGATCAACAGGCGAAGGACCTTCAACGTATTCAGATAGCAGAAATAACGAATGTTCATAGCTGTAACCAGGTCCATAACGTTTTGTCAGTTCTGATCAGTTCAAAGAACATCTGGGCGATCGTGTGAGTCAATGATGATAGCATAGGCGTTCCCATATGAAGCATATGAAAACTGCCCCATGCAACATGATATCCCAATGAAGAAGCTGAAACTTCCTTCCCTTGCAACCCCAATGAACATCCACAGGGATCAAAGCAGCCAGAGATCATTTGTCTCAGGCTGGAAGTGCAATATGTATCAAACTCAAGCGTTTCTCAATGAGAAACTAGACGCGACTTAACAGTCTGTGTTCGAATGGTCCAACAAGCTATATTGTGTGATCTTTGGGCCACTTGCTTTATTTTGAAAACAGAAAAAGAAAAACGCACCAAAGATGCGCTTCAAGATGAATATCGGCAAGGAGGTCTAAATTATACAACTGCTGGCGCACCAGCAGCGCCTCATCTAAAAATGGTGGCCGCCGCGAGCAGCGCAGGAGGTGGATATCACCTGCCGCCACAACAGCATGATGAAGAGTCTCCGACATTGCGTGCTGATGACGAGGCAAATGTTAGAGCAGGTCTAGGTTCTGGAGGAGGACAACGACAACAACATCATGACCATTCCTACTACTCCGTCGATACTCTTCCCGCAAAAACAGTCTCAAGAGGAGCGGCCGTCGTAGGAGCAGCTCGAGCAGATCAGGAAAAACATAGTACTGGTGGAGGCTTGAAGAGGGGGGCGGGACACAACAAGGCAGGACCTGGAGATCGCGGTGTCGACCGGTGGCGTGCGGACGGGGGTAAGAGAGTACACAGCACAGCACCGCGTGTTGGAGGAGGTGGTGCAGGTTGGCAACATGGTCACCATCTCCGTGGTGCTTCGGCAGGTGCCAAAAGTGCGACCTTTGAGATTGCTGCAGAGCAGCAGAGACGTTTCGACCACGTGATTAGAGGAGGTAGCAGTTCTTGCGACGAGAGAGGTAGCAGTTTTGGCGGCTCGGTTTATTCCCAAAAACAGCACACCATGGCGACAGCACGAGGAGGTGGACTAGCACAGCAGCGTGATTATCGTCCTCTCGAGGACCGCATGATCGGCCCTCCTGCTGGTCCTGGAAAGGGGCAGTGTCTTTTGGACAGAAATCTCGTTTCATCCTCGGCACCACGTGGACTTGAACATGATAAACAACAACACATCAATGGAGGAGGTGGACCTAAAGAACACAATGGACCTAAAGAACACAAGTTGCGCGACTTGTCATCTGCTGATGAAGATAACTATCCGGATCCGTCGCGTGGTCCTCCACGACCAGAGGAGCACCACTACAGCACGACAGTCGCCCACGAGAGCGAGAAATCCAACGGGGGTGGTGGAGGTGATCACCTCATCTCTCAACCGAGATCATCCGACCACGTCTCCTCGTCGCCAGAGGAGCGCACGACCTCCGTCGAAACTGGCATCGCGCGGGGTAAGAGCGCCTCGTCCAGGAGTACGCACAACAAGGGGATGCACACTCATCTCCCAAAAGGCAGTCCCAAAGGTCCGAAAGGCACCAATGTTAAGGCCACAAGAAATCCATCTCCACTGTTCTCATCTTGGTCCCGTTTTTAAAGGGAGAAGGAGACCACGCAAGATGCTGCTGAAGATGGATTGCTCCTATTTCTAACAATGGCAACATTCCAGGAGGTCCAGGCCCGGCCCCGGCGATTGCGTCCTCCAGTCCCGACCATGCACCTAGATCCTCATACGATGACGATGCTCTTGATCGTGTCGCGGCGCGGCAACATCATGGGAACAATATATACAAGAAAAGCGCTAGTAAAGGGCAACAGCAGCAGGCTTTCTCTTTGAGTGCAGCGAGTTCGCGATTACATTCGAAGAATGGTCAACATCAACAGAATGGTGGAAAACATCAAGATATTAGAGCCCCTACAGGAGCAACTCCATCTCCATCTGCACATGGTGGAAAACGTCAAGATATTAGAGCTCTTACAGGAGCAGCTCCATCTTCACATCACGGCGGTGGAGGTCGGAACCGCCTTCCTACCCACTATGCTGCTGCCGATGATCCGGTTGTTCCCCGAGTAAATAATCAAGAAGTCTCAGGCGACTTCTTGGGCGTCACCCGTGCAAACGCTGTTGGCAGTGCAAACGGCGCTCCGAATGGAGGCGCAGCTGCTCCACGGTATGGGTATCATGCAAACGACGCTCTTCAGCCTCCGCCTCCTCATCTTAGATCATCCAGCCCGAGCCGGAGCAGAAACAACTTCGGAGCCAGCAGCGTAGCTGCAAGTTCCCAGGTTGCGGACGTGATTCACAGCTTGCCAGCGGAGCTGCTGCAGCAATTTCCGGCCCAGCTCCTCGAGAATATACCAGAGCCACTGATCAGAGAGTTTCGTTTCAACGAACCTCGCACGACATTTGCGAGTCAGGGGAGCACGAAAATTGCATCCACCGCAAGAAGCGTTGGTGACACTGCGTCGATGAGCAGTGGTGACAATTTTTCGGAACAGAGCCGTGCTTTATATTTACGTCAGGCGATGTCTGCGGCAGCCAGCGCAGTGGCGCAGCCATCTTCCTTTGCACTTTCATCCGCAGTCGAAAGTGGAGGAGGCTACAGATCCGAACGTGATCGTATGAACGCGACAGGAGGAGCGGCTGCAGGAACTCATCAGAATAGGATCAACTCGTCGTCCTCTGGCGTAAACCTGCAACAGGATTCATCTGGCCGCGGACGTATCAGCTTGCCTTTCTACGATGTTGCCCCTCCACCGCCTCCAGTTTCGTCCGCGCGTCATGCGCCCCCTAGTCTGTCCCGCTTCGGCGCCGATCGACAAGGATCTGCCCAGCGAGATGGCGAGGACCCGCGTGGTGGGGATCTAGTCGGCAAGTACCAACACCAAGACGCATTAGACCAATTTTTTCGATTAGATCAACATGATGGCGCAGCAGGAGACACCATCATGCAGCAAGAGCAAGGAGACGGTGGAATGCAAATAGTACATAGTAAAGAACCACGGGCCTTCATGCCACCCCCGGGACTGGAGTGGAATGATTCGGCTGTAGTTGTAAACGAAAGTGATGAATTCACGAAACTCATGACCACTGCAGCACGTGCACACGCGTCGTCCATTGAGGGTGCTGGTGACGTTCGGGGCTTTCACACGAGTTCGCGTTTCCCCTCGGCGGCGGCTGGATATTTCTATCCTGATTAGCGCGATGAGCTGAGCGCCTCTCAACAGGTGGGGGAACCAAGCGGCGCATTTCCGTTGGCCGCCTCTCTCAAGACAAAACCAGCCGCGGCGAACCGTCCCTACTATCCTCCTGGAGATGAAGAGGCGGGTGGTGCTTCAGGAGAAGATGGGCGCCTTCTGGAGCGCAGTGGAAACGAATTCTCGCTCCTTCTTGCAGCAAAGAACGGCAAAGGGAACAAAGGTATAGCAAACGGACGAGGAGACCCTGGTGCGCCGCGCATGATTTTTACGGAAAAAGAGGCGCGCGAGGTCCAGGACTGCCTGCAGCGGCTCTACGCAACGGCGCTGTGGAGAGGCAAGTGCGCAGCTGAGAGCGAACAAAATCAAAACGGAATGCATACTTCTTTTCAAGCAGCAAGCGGAGCCACCCCCTACAATGCTATTCCTCCGGGTTTTCGTCCCGAAGACAGAGTGGTCCCGGAACTGCCATACGCTAATGGCAGTGCCGCGGCTCAGCGAAAGAACACAAACACCTCGAGTCGTGCTGCCGGCCTCGGCCTCGTTGATGATTCTTATCCACCGGCGCCCCTGCCTCCGGAGTGCTTGTTGAATGTGGGTAACTACAACAACAGCATAGAGGAGAGGAAGTCCCGATTGGCGTCGGCAGGAACCAACGCTGCCGGCATTCCGTTGGAGCATGAATATTCCGCAAGCAACGTGAGGGGTGCCACGTTTCACGCATCCCTAGGAGCACTAGGAGGACACGTAGGAAGAGGAACAACACCTGGACAAGACGATATGTTCGCACCTCCTGATTATCTAGCGATGAACTTGGCCGCGAATGCGGATGCAGCCGCAGCTCCCGAGCAGCATATGATGTGGGGTCCCGCCGGAGCGACCTCAACTTCTGCTGCTCTACAACAGCCATATTGGTTCAGTGGGCAGGACTACGACGCCGGTTGGCGCGATCATCCGCTTTGGGCTTCTACCTCCGTTTACGACGACAGCACAGGTACAGGAGCTATGAATCCCAATCTACAACCTGCTTTTCGTCTTTTGTCGTCCAGTAGTACGGGAGTGAGCAGGAGCGTTAGTACTGCTCCTGCTGCGGAACATCATGAGCAAACGTATTCTGGCAAAAGCATGCTCAATGGAGGAAATGGAACAACAGCTGGTAGTGTCGATCCTCGCCACGTCGATCCCCGTCCGCCTCAACACAAAGGAGCTTCTTCATCAAAAAGCGGTATGCTGAGTCGATGCGCCTCAGCGCCAAAATCATCTTCAGCCGACAATGCCTCACGAACAGGAGAAGAGGGCGGCAGTCTCGTGAACAACAAAAATCGTACAAGCGACAGCAAGAACAAACCGAAATTATCCGATAACCCTTGCAGTCGCACTTCAAGCTATCCCGCGCGTGGGGGTCAACCTGCGAAAGATGTGACCCACTATACCGCGAGCAACGGGTGCAACAACTACGAAGGAGTCACAACAGGCAGTCAGAAGTCTCATCAACAGTATAATACTTCTACTAGTAAGGCAGGAGGAGCGTCATCATCGGTGGGAGACCCTCCCAGCAATAGTGTAGACGAAAGTGAGACAACGGGCGGCAAAGATGATTTGCTAGATAAGACGCGATCGCGAACCGCGTGGGCTACCTCGACGAAAGGCTCCATGAACAGCGCCATCACTTCTAAAGTTAAGGCTTCAGGAGGAAATCCAAATCTATCTTAGCCAGCATCTTGGGGCCGTTTCGTACGGGAAAACGCGCACCTAGATGCTCCACAAGGTGGATTTCTCCCAGCTCTAATAGAGGGCTATCGAGATCCACTTCACAACTCAACACGACCAGCAAAAGCAATGAGACTGGAGGCAAGGCTGGGCCCAAATCACCAGGGATGACCCGGTACCCGCCGCCGTCAACGACCAACTCCGATCAGAAAGTATGTTCCGTCGTACGCAGGACCAGCGCAGGCAGCAGCGCCGAGAGCAGAAGTGTCATCGACCAGAGCGCCACCGATAATTCCAGAGGAGGCAAAAAAACTAGGATCACATCCGCCACTTCAAAGACCAGGTACTACTAACGATTTATTTCATGACCTATCTGCCGTCACCACGTTCCTGTTATGTACTCTTTTTTTCATATCAAACATGGAATTTTGTCACTTCATAATTTACCTATGTTGTACTTGTAGTTGTAGTATATTAATAAATAATATATATTATACATAACAAGGCAGTCGTGAAGACTGTTTCAGTTTCAATTTCTATTTGATACATTGTGATTATATTACTTTGATGCCCGTCCCCGTCGTGCCTCATATCAAAAGACCACATGACTTGCAGAAGAGTACCACGACGACCACGACACTTCTATTTGTATTAATAGTAGTAGTTGTAGAAGCACTCTACTTGTTCTACTAGTAGTTGTAGTACTCTAGTAGTTGTAGAAGTACTTCACTTCTACCAGAAGAACAAGAGCACAGAAGAACAAGTGCACACTAGGAGAGCATGATACGCGAATAAGAGAACAACAACGAGGACAACAGCAGGAAAGTGCGCGCCTTGGTGCTACACAACCGCTAGTATCCGAGTCAAGTTTCAGGGGATGAATACGATACGTGCGTCATAACATTACTTGTTTGGATTTTCAATCTTGGTCGGCCCTTTCCCTTCAATCAAACCTTTAGGAAGAGTGCTTTTAAGTTTCTACTCAAGAAGTTGGTCAACTATCTACTTGACTTTTTATGCACCCACAATCTAGAGACTTTCATGTTCATCATTCTTCTCATTTAGGATTTACATTTACTTAGTTAGTACTTGGCTTTACATTTACTTAGCAAGTGTTTACTAACTGTTACCTCACGGCGAGCGTGCTCTGACTCTAGGAGGGTGCCACACTAGATGATAAATTTTGCGCTCCGTTGTGGAGGCACTCGAGGTAGGTACGGGTATTAAGGGTATCATCAATCAATTAAGGTGGGGCGGCAAGGCGGGTTGCCGGGGTGCTGGTCGTCCGTGGTGGGAGGGTTGCCAGAGGATAAGTAGCGATACACTGGGCTACTCGTCCTAAGCCTTATGATTTAGCAGTAGTTTTTTTTTCTACTCTGACCTAGTACGGGGGTCGTCGTCCACGTCGACCGCTGTGCATAATACTAATAAATAGATAGGAGAGACGCCGCAATATGTACTAAATAGGAGATGAGATGAACAACACCAGCCGCACCGCCGAGAGGCAGCGAGGAAGACCGTGAGAGCGTCAGAGGATGGAGAGAGGCATTGGAGAGAGAAAGAGAGTTTTTGACGTCCACCCAGCAGAAGACTGATTTTAACCATGTTAACAACTTGGTAAGAAGTGTTTGTAAGTAAAAAAGTTATTGATTCTTATACTGGACTACGAGGACCATTGCGGCGAGCTGTATGACGAACCCTTTCGTTTGTTGAGAGAACAGAGCGAGAAGAAGACTCTGGCCATAAGGCGACACTGACGCATGTAGATCATCTACATGCGTCAATGCTAGAACCATTGCCAGACTCCGACGGGATGGTAGAGTAAAGCAGAGCACGAGGATGCAGGTAACCAGAAACCCGAGGGAGCACATAGCAGCGCTCTACAGCGAAGAACTGAGGAAAATCGTCAAGGGTAAGAGAGGGGCTTTTGGGTTTTGGCATAGAGGACCTGCGTAAGTTCCTTTGCAGCATGCTTCCCAGATTCACTGAGAGGGTAGAGATTGGCCTGTCAGTTGACAACTCAGAGCGAGCCGCAAATGATGGGAGGCACAGGCCGGACATGTGGAAGACATTCAGGGAAGTAGCTGACGCCGAGGCAGGGGGAAGGAGAAGGCCAGCAACGGACGAGGATGCGGCCAAACAATACGCCAAGGCTGGGAGTAGCCCGCTGCTACCGAATCCCTTCGAGCGACCGCGAGCGGAAGAGATAGAGGCTGAAGCGCAAGCACTACCGACAGAGGCCCTAGAGAGCATAAGCGCGCCCATCACGGTGAAGGAAATTAATAGCAGAAAGCATAAAAACCATGAACAAGGACGGGGCCCCAGATTGCCATGGCCTAACGGTAGGGGTGCTCTTCTTGGATGACGAGGCCGCGCAGCAAGTAGCTGAGCTTGAGGCACTTAGTAGAGTCATCAAAGGCGGAGGGCTCTCTGCTCTAGATGAGGAGGCGCACTACTGCAAGAGTGCTCCGCTTTTCAAAGGCAAGGGCGACGGTGCAGGTCCAAGCAACTACCGGCACGCTGTGGCGTCGCTGATGGTCTTCGGGGTGGCCTCAAGGGTTTTCGCTATAGAACTTGGCGCAGCTTTGGGGGCCGCGGGTCACTTCTGTCCAGCCCCGCCTGGCTTTCGAAAGGGATCAGGCGCGCTAGAGTCTTTGCCAGTCTACAGCAGAACAATAGAGAACGTGCTGAGATGTGGGGGGGGGATGGGGCTGCTTCCGCCTTTGTCGCTCTACCTAGCTAGTGGATCCCAGGAAGGCTCTGCCATCGCTTGACTGGCGACTGGTCAATGCTGTGGCGGAGGCTCTTGGATTAGTTGGGGGCGCAGCCTGGGAGGCTATAGAAGCATCGCGCCGAGCCGCTAGACATAGAGTGGGCAAGGAGGGGCCCGCGCTAGATCATGGAGTGAAGGAGGGCGGCGCTTCGTCGCCTTTGGTCTTCCTACTCAGGAGACTCCGCAAAACAAGGAGGGAAGGCAAAAAGCCAGGAACAGCGTTGCAGGCTTTTAGATCCACAGGCCCGCCACCTTTAGCAGGAGAGGAAGTGCGGCAAGGATTGCGGCCCTCCTCTTTGCGGACAGCTCCGGGCCTCAGGGTCCAGGGGCGGCCCCAGTAGTCAGACATGAGATGAAGTAGGGGCCCTCTTGTTTGTAGACGATACGGCGAGAGCATAGTAGAGCCACTTGCCAGCGACGAGGTAGGAGAAAGACGCCATGGCAGTAGATGACGACCTCACCCAGAGGAAGCAGCTGCCGAGGGGCACTGAGATCGCCAGACAGTATTGGGAGGTCTTTGCGGAGTCCATCGCTATCAGCTGAGAAGGCCAGCGAGAGAGACTGCGGGGACATAGTTCGACCATCTGCCAGAGGCTTAGGCGTAATGACTGACAACAGGGACGACGTCGAAGCTAAGAAAAAGAGTAAAGGCGAGGGGGGCACGCTGTTCACTTAGATCCAAGACATCGGGTATGGCACGACTAACAACGAGGGGGGGGGCGAGCTGGTTGCCGTAATGATAAGGGTCGGCGCTTACAATACATATAGGCTGCGCGCGCGTTTTGTATCAGAGGAGGAGCGGACGCAGCTAGAACCTGTAGAAGGGGGGCGCCTTAGTTAGGTGCGCCATTATGTGCGAGAAGAAATGGACACGGCATCCGACGCAGATCACTGAGGCGGGGAGCCAGGGCGATACCGGGGGGGACACAAATCAGAGCACTGCTGGCAAGATTCTACTGCCACCAGATGAGGAGGGAGGGGGTGCCAATGTCCAAGGCGGTGCTCTTTGGGCGTGCTCTTCTTCCAGCGAGTAGCGGAGTCGTCCAGGATGCAATGCGTACCATTCAGGACAAGCGCCGCCGGGGTGGTGAGCATAATTCGCGTTTGACTATCTGAGCAGGAGAAGGAGGCTACTCTGGGAAGCGCTTACCTGCTCAGGGATTCGACAGGCGTGCCCTCATCGCCTGACCCCGCGGGGGCCATGATTGGGAAGCCTTCAGGCTATGGGTGCCAGGTGCGTGATTCGTTGGGGGATTCGGGTGGGATTCTGGGGGAATAAAATAATGCCGCGCGTTCGACGGAGTATCACGGAGAGGATCAGCAGGCCAGGCACCAGAGAAGTCGGAGGCACTGCGCGGAGCACTATTCGGAGACGGCTGCGGACTGGGCGCAGGATGAGCAAGGTACTGAGGCGGGGGCCATGCTTGTCCAGCTGATAGAGGATAGGACGACGGGCAGGCATGAGGCGGAAAGGGCGGACGCTATCGACCTTCAGCACGATGGCGAGGCCTCCTGGAGGTTCCTCTCAGCGGTAATCGATGTAACTGCAGCACCAGGATCAGGAGACGCCAGATCTGGGGACATGGTCGGCCTTGAGCTGATTCCCAGGCTTGTAGATCTGGGGCTGCATAGGATGGGGCGCCATCTTTGCGGAGGATGTCACAGGGCAGGACTGAGCGCAGTAGGGTCGAAGGAGGAGATGCCCGGGCACCTTAGGAAGGAGGTGCGCGGGCTTATGCCTTGTCCGGGAAGCATAGCACTGAGGGCCACGGAGATAGCCAAGGGGCTTCGCGATGAATCCGAGAAGCGCAGGAGGCCTGAAGTTCTTCAGGAGGGTGCGCGGCTCTTCTCTGCGGTAGGCGAGAGAGGAAGAGGTGGAAGGACCGGCGAGGAGCTCGCTGCTGCTGCCTCGGCGGGAGCGCTCTTGGGGCTCAGATGGATGCCACGGCTGTAGGAGGGCCCTCAGTATGCACGTGCCTGCAGGCAATGAGGAGGCACTGCGAGCAGCACGGGCGGGAGGACGCGGCCAAGATCTACAAGGTTAGGAGATCGGGCCTGCTTAGGCCAGAGCATCGCCAGCCGCTGCCGGGTGGGGGATTTAATGGAGGCGCAGACATGGCGACCCATGAAGTCGCGCCGCCTGTTGCGGCGAGATGTTCGGCTGAAGGACCAGGGGAAAAGGCGACTAGGTGCAGGCATTGCGAGAGGGCAGAATGGAACTACAAAACGGCAAAAGTGCAAGCAAAGGCGATAGGGGTGCTGGGAAAATGGAGAAAACAGGAGGAGAGACGCAAAGGGGGACCTCTATAGTTATAAAACTGTGCATACCCGTCGAGGGGCTGGGTATAAATATCATCATCATCATCATCGTCATGGCTGAGGCGTAGCAAAGAACGGATGGATGACGAGAGAAGTGTGAAAAGAAAAAGGCTACTTTTCTTGAGAATATTAAACGAATGAGAGCAGTGAGCGTGAGGGATACTGATATGATAAAGAGCAAAGTGCTGGTGGTCTGGTGTGGCTCCTCTGTTCGCTCACCAAGAGTGGATGTTAGTATTTCTTCTTTCAGTTAAAAAGTAAAAGTAGATTATGGAAGCATTTCTTCTATCCTCATGACAAGTTTACTTTAGAAATGATTTACTTCGTTCATTGTTGCTTGTACAAGTTATTTACTTGAAAAGTCATTGTATGATATTGACTGGCTAGCAAGGAACGAGGACGAGATACTGTTTTGCATTACGACCTCAAGTGTACGTAAACCTAAATGAGGTCGCCGCGTGCTCAGTAGTATAAGGTTTGGATCCAACCATCCATGTTCACCTCCGTCTTCGCATGAACGAATTGATTTTCTTTCCTCGCTCCCTTACCGCATTCACGACCTTTCTCTGTTTGGTCTTTTTATAATCTTTTTGTTCTTCTTTTTTCCTTCTAGAATGAATGTCGTGTGTTTTTTTTGCTTCGGTTCGTTGATCTCGATGATGGCAATCATAAGTATTAGTTGTTTCATGTTGAACATCTTCCTTATCCTTACATATTACTCATAGGTCGCATAAGGGACTAAGAAATAGGGACGACCAGCAGGGGAGCAAACCATAATGAATATAGTCACTTAAAAACTCCTCGGAGTATGCTACATATATCTGCAGCTGCAAGCAAGAACTCGTGAACAACATCAAGAAATCGACGTACGAAAAGGAGAATTGGAATTTCTATCAACTGCTTATCTTGTCGGATGAAGATTTCTCTCCATGTCCATTCTCATAGTTTAGTGTGGCTGCGTACCTGATTACGAGTTTAGCTCAAGTATAAGTGGCAGATAACGTAGCTGTAGTAGACTCATAGGACATCTTCACCAGATCAAAGAAGAAGTTTTGTCCGTCCAGACCTCACATAAAAAGAAAGGCAACTAGGTTTTTCATGATGAGTGAATGAATGAGTGAGTGGATGAATGAATGAGGACTAATATATGCACCAGGGAGGGAGGCCCCCCCCCCTGTGGATGGAGCGGGGGTGGCGTTGGCGCGCCCTTTTTTCCGCGGTGGTGACGTGCAAGGATTCCAGGGGGCGATGGCCTCAAAAGGCGGGCCAAAGTACCCTGGCGGCTCTCCGCGTGTACCCCACAGGCGTCCCGAGTCTTGGACCCTATTAGGGGGACGGCCTCCGGGGGCAGAAGGCGGCCACAAATTGGTGGCAGCTTCAGCCGCCACCAAACGCCCGGGGGTTTGAGGACCAGAGGCGAGGAGGAGTGGGGGCAAGGCGTGCCCGCCTGGGTTCTGTCGGATACATGCAGCACGGCGAAAGGGGTCAAGCCTTGGCACCTGCTGCCCCCGGAGGCCTTCCACCCCCCAAGAGAGTCCACCAGTGAGGAGCCCGCTCGCGGGCCGTCTGTAGGGTACATCAGGCAACACACACGGCAAGGGGGTCAAGCCTTGCCTCCTTCGGGAGCCTTCCATCACCGGCTGTGTGATTATTTATCGTGTGTTGAAAGATCAAGAACGGAGGACATTCTCTTAAGTACAGACAAATAGTTAATGTAGTTCAGGAGATCTTCTTATTTTTATTTGAATGTTGTTGGTTCAGGAGATCTTGTTCTTATTTTTTGTGTGATTCTGTTTCTCTTTCTGATTTAAGAAAAGTATTAAGATCGGAGGTCAGAAGTTGTACTAGTTGTAGTAGTACTTAGATGAAACGGTGCTGGAAGACAGAATTTCATCTGCATTTCTAGCTTCATCCGTTTATGTGATAGCTGTTTGAGATTCTTCTTTCTTTGTCAACAGAAGAAGCGGCCGACCTCTCCTGTGACCTTCTTTATTGTAGGATGATTTTCTTAATTAAGAAGCGAATGTGTGATCTCTCACTGTGTGTGCTTGGAAGAGGTTTCGTTTCTCATTCGTTCGTTCATAGAATAAAAATAGTCAGATCTTCTTGTTGTCTTTAGTAATTGTCGTTGTTTTATTCGATTTTTTCTCTCTAATAACTTTCTTCAGTTTGACGAGTCCTTTTTCTCTCAAACCTTTTAAGGGTCATAGCTCAGAAGTACGTAAATACAAATAGTCTCTCATCGAAGTTCAGCTAATCGCGGAAACGGAATATATCGCGACTTGCGGGTCTGCAACAAACGCAGCCAGCAGTCACGTGATTTCTTCTTCTGGATTACTGGCAAAATTCGAAAAAAGTTTAGTGTCTTTAGGGTCCACGTCTAAAGAAAATCACATTGGTTTTCTTCTAAATTCGGAAGTGAGTCATCAATTTTAAATCTAAATCTCAAGTACGGCCTGCTGTGGTCGACAAAGCCGCCTGCAGAAGCTTCGTATAAGTGGACGAATGAACAAAGTTCGACGGTTAGACGTGGTCTTGATCCTTCCTCATTCAAAGAATCCACCAGAGATGCACATTGAATGACAATGATGGCTGAGCACGATCGAAAGGATTCATCTCAGAATATTTGCTGCCCGGTGTGCTCGTGATCGTCGCGTGTTCGTGGGGGTAGCCCACTACAATGCGACTAGCGCTTGTAGTGTCAGGGTTTTGGCGACCCTGCCCCTTATTGGTCAGTCTACCAGGACTCTTTTTTTGTTTTACCGGAAGTTAGGTACCGAAGAATGAGAACATGAAAAACGAACGCGTAAAAATACCGATGCATGTTATCGATCCTTGAACGTTTGAGTGATGGAGAGTTTGCACTGAGTGAGAAAGAGTGGCTCACTTGAAAGTCTAGACCTATTTGCGCAGACCAAGAATGTGATAAGACGAAGGAACAAGAAGAAGAGAAAAGTTTGAAAAAAATAAATTATTCAATCGCCGCAGTTGTTTTTCCAGGAGTCCAGTCCAGTTAAAAAAGCACGGCAAGTGTTTTCAAGTGGTAGCTACGGCATCACTTGTTTTTCTTCAGGCATTCAGATCACGACCACAGACTTTACTTCAAAAGCCTCCTTAGCGGAGTTGTGCAAATATACTTTCGTATTTAATTCAATTATTAACTTTCGCTTGAGTTTTCAGTATGTGATCAATAAAAAGTTTATTCGGAAAAATGACGACGAACATGCGCCTTAGGGGCGATATCGTTTCCGACATAGATCGGATGACGGCGGAATTGGGTCCAGACTCGGGATCCGAAACCGCATCAGCGGACGAAAAGCTGAAGTTTCAAATGCTTCAGACGTGCAGGATGGAGCTCAAAATGTGGGACATCATGAACCAGGAGCAGGAAAAAGCCTCGAAGCAGTTGGAGGACCTCAAACTCCAATCCTCAGAGCTTCAAAAAGCCTACCCCGAAGCAGATGCTAGATCAGTGGCATACAGAAGGGAACGTGACTTGGCATTGGAAAAACAGGAGGAGGAGACAAAAGAAAAGGCAGCGCTACAGCAGAGCTACGACAAGGCAATCAATAGGAATCTGTCTTGTTTCGTCTGCGGCAGTAGAACGAGTGCTGATGAACTGGCAAGGAATGGAGGTGCGGCGTGTGCGGAATGCAACAAAGCAGTAGTGTGTGGTGGTTGTTTTACTACATTAGACCTGAGACCTAGAGTGCAGATCATGCTTCCGGGGGCGTTTGCAAAACCCGTCGACCTCACTTGTCAGGTGTGTAGGCACGGCATGTTAGAAGACGAACATACTCAAGTAGCGGAACACGTGATGGAACAGCAAGGCATACTTTCTAAAAGTATTGCAAAAAACATCGGCATTAAAAAGCCGTGGTTCAACCGCTTGGCCAGACTCAAACAAGATCGTGCCGACTTTAAGAGGGCGTACGAGATTGTCAAGAGACCTGGATTACCCAAGTACTCCAAGGATGTCGATTTGCAAACTACTTCTGCGACGGCTTTAGCATACAACAACATGATGACTACCAGGAATCTACTAGAGAACGCTGGTAGTTCTTCTGCTGAAATGCGCCACGAAATCGCGAACATGCGACATCTACAGCAGGACATGGTTCGAGTAGATCAGAAGAAGAGACGCCAACACGTCAAGTTTAGCGTGGCCTTGGGAGTGAAAGAGTGCAAGGAGCTCAACTTTCACAGCGCTACACCAGAGTCGTTCATTGCTTTATACGAAGAGATAAAGCAATATTACTCGCTTGATGCAGATCAGGAAACAAACCAGAAATTGTTTCAAGACGTATTAGACCTTTACTTGGACCTAGATCAGGCGCCGTTTGGCTCTAGTACTTTGGCAGCTTGGTTTGCCACTCCTTGCATGTTCGTGCAAGGAGTGAATCGAGCACTCCGCGTAAGTTTCTGTTATACTTTTTCGTAACCATCCCGGCATTAGGTAGTCGTATTCTGTCATACGAGTCGTGTTATGTTAGAATCTGCTGTTCTTACCTCTTACAAAATATACGCACGCTTTTATTTATCCATTAGAAATCTTCAGGTCAGAGACATTTGCGACGAGATCATCTACGTGTCTCGCATGGTCCACCAGGCCACGATTAACACGACGACGAAAAGTCTGTCGACTTTAAGCGCAGCAGAAAAACAAGAACTAGACTACAAGGCACGTCAGAGGATTTTGCTCACTTTGCGCGAGATGTACAGACCAATCATCTACACATCTGCTGCTAGTACCACTGACAAGGTCGACCGAGTCTTGTTCAACGCCTACTACGCACCAAAAATGCAAGCGGGAGAAGCAAGGTTTGTCTTTCTGGAAGCGGGTGGCAAGAGACAGTCTTCTACGTCTTTCAATGACCAGGATGAGGCTAAGATCAGAAAACTGCAATCGGAGCGCGACAAGGCCTACAACGAGAACAAGAGACTAAAAGACGAGGCAGGTAGAAACGGTGGCAGAGGAAGTCCTAGCAGAGGCAACGGCAACACCATTACTTCTACCCCTGGAAGAGGAACATCTTCTAGGACAGACCAGAGTGGAGACCAAAAGGAGCGTAACGTCAGAAGAATAGTATCCGAGGATGAGAAAAAGGAATGGGCTTTGACTACGGCAGGCAAGTTTATGATCGCACTGTTTTCGCCGGTCTTGCACGGAACTATCACGTCAAAACAACGCAAACAGGAAATCATTAGTGAAGCCATGAGGAAAGACAAAACAGCATGCTATTGGTATTGGGACAACTATCTGGGGGCATGCAGAAATTGTTGGATCGCAGGAATTTTCACACGTGATCACGTTTACACTCAGTGTGAGCGCGTTGGAAACAAATTTAATGCAATTTGTGGAGTATGCGGAAACGAGCACGAGGAATGGCCTCGGTTGTGTCCGAACAAGGGAAAGGCACGCAGAGCAACTGGCTAATGCTGTTTAGACTAGGTTTTGGTTAGGTTAGATCTAGGGGGGCTTGGAATACTGGGAGACAGACATCCAAGTTTGTGACCCAAGTGGTCAGCGGTGGGTAGGTCGTATAGCGACACTCCTAGATCAGGGCGGGCTGAAGTTAAAACCTTCTGCTTCACACGCGACAGGCTTTGAACCCTTACAGATTCAGAATTTTTTGAAATTTTAGACGATCCTGAGCTCGCAGATGTTGTCAGAACCGAAATTAAATAACACAGCTCCAGACTTAGTAAAACTCAGGCATTCCCAGGCACAGGCGCACTTTAGATTGGGTTGCCGTTGGTCAAGCCGGGCACTTGGCGTTTCCTCTTCTGCGGGACGAGGTTTCTCGGTCAACTTAGATTCAGTCAGCTTGAGGCGATAGCGAGAGAGATCTCGCATCGGTTTGCAAGAGTGGAACTTCCTCAGATCAGATTCAGTTGTAGCCGCTTCAGGAAAGAGAAACAAAGGCATGAGTTAAGTGAGGTAACAATAGGCACTGTATGAGTGGAAGACTTATTTACGGGCATGACACGACAAAAATTTTTTGGAAAAAAATCAGCTTGCGTTGATTAAGAATTGTCTCTATATAGGAGCGTGTGTAATTTTGTTACCCACAATTCGAGTAAAGAACATAGGCCACATTTGTAATTTTTTTACCTGTTAATTGAGATTATTATGAAGAAAGGTTATGCAGAAGCTACAGATGACGAGTTTGGCGAAGTTGCGGATGCGGATAGCGACTACGACTACCTAGCTTCGCACTCGAAAAAGCTAGCTAGTAGGCTGGACTGGTGGTTCCACGACACAGCGGATCCACCACCGCTGGTGGGTATCAACCCCTCACAACGGGCGAAACGTGGGACGGCTACAGACGTCAAAGCCGATCGAGGAAAGGTCATGTCCAGCTGGTTCGACGATAAGCCTTTGCTGCCACCGCGGCAGGAAAGAGCACCCGCTCGAGCGGAATCTCCGGCCTCACGAGAGGCGCGACTGACCAGGGAGAGGATTCAGGCGCTGCTCGGGAACAGTGTGATGGCGCCGGAAGTAGGCGCGAAGAGGGCCACGTCAACTTCGCCCGGACTTCTAGCACCTCCAAAGAAAAAGACGCTTCTTCTTCATGAACCACCTGTAGAAAAAGGGCGCACCAGTGGCGGACTAGGCTTAGAAGAAGACTTGTTGGCGGAGTGCAGGCAGCGAGAGGAGGAAGCCCAGCGCTCTGCGTCGCAGGCGGACTTGCTCACAGCTGTGGTCGGGAGGGACACGCAAGACTGGTTAGAGCCCCCCCAGCGGTTGCGTTTCACGTTTTAACTCCTACCCTAACTCGGATTAAACTCCTGGCACATGCTCGGGCTCGTTTCTGCTGTTAAGGGGGTCAGCTTTTAAGCCTAAAAAAAACCAGCCTGGTCGTATTTTTTGGCGCCTGAAAACGCAGAAAAAAAGAAGGCGCTT